AAACCCTGTGCTCTTAAACCCTGGCTGATGACATTTTAATGTCCTTTTTCAGGTCCTCTCTCTCACWGAAATACTGTGGCCATGTGTGCTTTTCTTGATTCTAGCTGCCRTCCGCTTCCAGGAGCCCCCAAAATACAAGGAAAACTGTATGTTCTGTTTCACTTGTGTTCTATTTTGGTTGCCTCTGCTTGTAGAAGTATTTAGCAAACACTAAAGACATCCTAGCAGGGGGGACTTAAATGTAGTGGAGTCAATGGAAAGAGTCCTGCAGTGGCATTCAATCTTGTCCAGCTATGGATCTGAGCAAACTCAGGTGGGAAAAAACGTAAGAAGTTTACGGTCTGACTCGTCAGACAAGTTTTAGACATTGACTTTCGAATAAGGTGGATTAATTGGGTTTTAGTTGCATTTATTTCTTTCTATTGAGTAATAGAATTCAGATGACTGGTTCAGAGGTGGATARTTTTCCAGTAGATATTAACAATTAGATAAGATGAACCTTAGCCCTATCTACTTCCTGGGATTTAGAATTTATATTTTGTTAAATTCTTCCATTTCCTTTAACACTTCAAAGCTTATTATGACTTCCTCCACCTTACAGAGCTCTTTTTGCTTTTATATTGTCAAAATATAACTTAATTTAGAAAATAATTATTGATGATGTTATAATCTATCCAGTTTATTATTCTGTTACTCACCAATATTAGTAAAATGGGGATAAACTAGCTTTAGCTACATTAAAAATAAGTTTGGTAAAACAGTTCTAGATCTACAGAGTGAAATATCTGAAGAAAATCTAGTCTGTGTTATACACATTTACTTCATGGAGAGATATGGTTAATTCCAGAGACATGGAAAAGTGGCTGTTTAGACAGTCTTGACTGATGTATGTTCAAACATTGCTGAATATGAATTCCTTCATCTTATGAAAGGCTGTGAAAAAATAAAAAATGCTACTTTGTGAAGAAGTCTATCTTGTAATCCAGGTCACATGATTTGGGCAGAGAGCATAGCAAGCACATGATACTGCAATARTGTTATTACCAGGATAATCAGCTTTTCAAAGACTGCTCTCAAATATCATATGTACCTTGTTRTCACAGTCTGACACAGGGGTTGCTCATTTTCTGTGGTGATTRAGTTTTTTAAATGAGACACCTGACATCGGTACAACTTCATTGCTTGCAGGTGACAAAGAGGTTTTTTAGGGCAAAGGAGCACAATGTGATGGTACAGTTTGCAATGCATTCTCACTGGTTGTAATTCTGCTGCTGCTTGGTTTTAGGTTACTTAGAAGCTCGTGATTTACCAAGCCGGGGCCTTTATCCTTTCATGCGGACCCTTTTCTGTAACGTTGGTTCAAAATGCAGGAATACCAGTTACACAACACAGAGACAGAGCCGCTTTGGGTAAGTTACGTGAGTTTTACAGAGCTGTCACTATCACTGTGCCTCTTTTTCTRCAGTAAAGGTTGTTACTGCCTTGTAGACAGGGAAAATAGGAGCATGGCTATTCTGTGCTAGAAGTTTCCTTCAGTGTTCTTATGAATGCAAAAGATGTAAGGCCTTAATTCTGTGTATTCCTAATATATTTTTGCTTTCTCCAGACATTTCATGCTGTTTTTGGATAGGAAACACTATTTGGGGGCAAAATTTTAGAGGTAACTTGTCATATTCTTGCCCTTTCACTGCTGCCATGTTGAAAGTGTACTTTTATCCATCATTAGAAAGTCTTTTATTACATGAGACTGAAACTGAGCATCAAAAGTATGTAGTATATGGATTTAAACTTTGAAAAGTTTGGGAGCATACATGATGGGAGAAGTGAACACAGAAAAACAAAACAAGAATAACTTTCACATAAAACCCCAAAAAGAGCCAAAAAGAACTAGAAGAAATTCTGTAATAAAAAAGAACTTAGAAAAAATCATTCATAAACAGGCCTCATCATAGGATTCTAGAATGGAGAAAGAAAAAAAGATTGATTTTAATCTGGAATTTTTTTTTAAGAAGTGTAGTAATTTCATCTACTTCAAAAATGTTGAAGAACATTGAGGTGCAAAGACATTTATGCAAATTGGCTTAAGGGTTTAGTCATAAATGACCTTTCATAATATAGAACCATGAAGTCGAAGTAGGGTGGGCTAATCAGAATATGTGTTTGTATATTTATTCTTAGAAAATTGAGAATATCCCCCAAAAGATCTGAGACGTCTGAGCCAGGTGTGTCAGAGCATCAAATATTTATGGTTTATTATATTAGAGGTTTACAGGTAGCAATAAATTCAGCATACAGCAAGTTGGAAAGCTTCAGTATYATAGTAATAGGCCATAATACTTATCTATTAATATAGATTATTTGCTCCAGTTATTTGTACATTTAAGGAATTGTTGATTGAGCATCAGGCCATGCAAAATAAATCTTGTTTATKGACAAACACTTTCTACATAAAGCCATTATTTGTTAGTATAACTGAAATCTTAAAAATTTAAGTCACTTTTRGATAAGATGTGTTATTACACAAAATGCAGCATTAAAAAAATATCAGCATTAAAACAAACAAACAAAAAATAAACAAAACAAAAAAAAAAACCCAGTTAAAATTATTGCATGACCACAGAGGTTCTAGTCCTTTCCCTGGGGCTATGGTCACCTTTCCTCTACTGCTCTGGATCATGGCAGCAGTTGCAGATAGGTGGTGTTGGGGTGATTATGGCAAGTCATGATCGGTAGTTCTTTACTGGGAGGAGTGTGGTGTTGATGGCTTCTTTTTCATTCCAGGGTGCACTTAGGGTCACTTATGTGACTAATGTACTTTTATACTTTGCTCATTTTCCATTGGCCTGTATCTTTGGGAGACATTCAAATTTATGTGGTGCACCTGAATATTTACATTATCTTTTACATATATTAGCTACCTGTTATTTTTTTTTTTCTTGATACCTAGAAATTGGCTTTGTCCTGCTGTAGTTCTGAATTTTAACTGAGCACTGGTGAATTTTTTGTAGCCATGGGGTCCTCAGTGCCTCAGTGTGCCCCACCTCTTATCATCCCAGATTCTCCAGTATCATACTCCSGTAGAGTTCATCAGGGTCCCTACTTCTCAAGGCCTCTACTGTTATACTGGGCCTGTGCTCTGCACTGCTTTTTTAATCATAAAAATCTCATTTTTCCACTGAATGGTCACTTGCTACTTCTATCTGTATAAGACTATGATGGCATTATACAGTGACAAATGAAACTACAGCAAATATCTGGAGTCACCTGGCTAGGAAAAAAAAATAAAGGGTAAAACTAACCCAAGTCAAAAGCAAAATACGACAAGTTCGGGCAAAGCAAAGGTGGCAAGCCTCTGTGCTGTGCTCTTTCAAACTCAGTAGAAAGCCTGTAGCCTGTTACTTGCAGTAGCAATACTATAATACTGGTTTGCAGAGTTGCAGTAAGTGTTGGCCTTTTAAAAAATTGTTCCCTAAAAGGGTAGTTTTTATTTACATCACTAGTTCAGATGCCATCTAAATGTGTTAAATTTTTAGAAACTATGAACTATATTGACTGCTCTGCATGATTATTTACACTGTTTTGACTGAACTGCCCAACTTATATTTCAGCTCATAAGAAAATCAGGAAAGAATTTCCTGAAGGCAGTCTTAGACCTACTTAAGAATGGGGGAAATTATTCAATGGCTTTCATTTTTTTCAACTGAAAGATAAAATGCATACATGTATTCATATTTATAGACTCAGAAGGCTACACTGAGTAGCATATAGCTTAGGTGAGGAAAAAAGCTGAAAAGGTAGGATGAAGTTCATTCTGAGGTCAGTCTGTTCCACCAGGTCCATCAGTATAAATTAAATCAACCTCAGGGTGGCTCTGACTTATGCTGGCTGCCAACAGCCGTAGGAATATAGACTGTCAGTCTGATCAGTCAAACATAATTGAATCCAGTGCCTGTTGACTGGAGACATGGGGTGGCATAGGAACAGCAATACCAATCATCTTCCCTTTAAGGATTTATATCAAACTATAAGTCAGATATAGGAACATTTTTTAACATCACTAAAACTGTTTATTAAGGGTGAATCGGACACTGTGTATAATTTGTATGGACATTAACCATTTGTTTTCACATTGGTGCTATCAGTTTGAAATGTCGTAGTTGTCTTCAGGAGAAAGTAGTTATATGGCTTCTATTGTAGCCTCCATGGAACCCATAAACCACCAAAAACGATTTGTCATTGAGCAGCTCCCACCATGAGGGGGGCTGAGCCCAGGCTGAAGTTATCCTGGTGCAGGCCATGCCCTCGCAGATGYGTCCCTGTCCCTTCAGGCAGTAACAGACTGTGATATGGTGACAAGATAAGCCAGATGTAGCCTACAACTACATTAACTTTGATTTGAAGCAAGGCCTGGCAYCTCCTCTAATGCCTTGGAAAGTGCYCATTTTTCAAGAGCTCTGTGGCTTTGCTACTTGCTCCTTTTTTCAGYCACTGCAAAAAGCTGCTGGCTGGCAGCTCACTGAAATGATTCCCTAGCCTTATACACCCAATGGTATCTTAGAGCAGAGGAGTAAGGAAGTATTCAGGAAATCCCATAGTAAAGGACAGTTTTCCCTGCTCTTTCCCAAATGTTCCACCCCCAACGCATCTGAGTAGAGAGCAGCACAAAACTGAAAGCATGCAAATAAGATAAAAACCACACAGCCCAAGGTTCTATGGCTTTACACCTTACACATTTCCATGCATGTGGGTAGAAACATAATTTCCCAGTACTCTGGATTCCATGGCAAATCTTGCAGGATGTGGTGGGGTTTGACCTTGTAGTCCAGCCTTCTAGATCTATGTTAGTTAGACTTCTGAAAGACTAAAAGAAAATTAAACTRTTCTCAGACTTAGAACAGCAAAGATCATGAAAGCAAGACTCTAAATTGTTATCTCTAAGCACATTAGTTTATTTCTCTTTATTTATTTGTAAATAGTAGAAGTCTGAGTTGCCTCATCCAGTAGATGTGTAGAGGCCCAGAACTGTCTCTGACACTTCTGCTGGATGAGCCACCCACACCCATGTGGTAGYTCTGTCTCCTTTCRTGCCTGACTGGGCTCCTGGACTCAYCCTTTTTTGGGCTGTCTCTGGACAGAGACCCCTGTGTCTGCCTGCACTCTGGGGTCCTGGGGGACAGTGAGGCCATGGACTCTCCCAGATTTGCTTTGGCTCCTAGCTTGGCTCCCTCCTGGAGCAGCCCTGCTCACACCAGTCCCTTTGTTCTTACTGTTCTAAACCTTTTGCTTTATCAGTACCTTGGTCCTTTTTGTTCTCCAGTGGAAGAGCATCAGAGGAGTTAATGTACAAGAGCAGATGTGAAAGAACAAAATCAAGGAAGATCTAAGCATCAGCGATAGTATTTGTGTAAGAATTGCTTAGAGGGTTAGATTTTTCTTTAATGAAGTGTATCTTGAAATGAGAACTAGTTCTGCAAGAAAGCTTATGGCTGCAGCAACTTACTGCAATATTGACMCTATGTCTGGGCCAGCTTTTGTAGTCTTGGGCTGTGTAGATGGAAAACAGAAAGAGAAGAATTCTTTGTGATCTTGCTTATAGATTGTCAGAGAGTTGGAGAGAAAAGGAAATTTAAACATGGCTTTTCTCCATTTTATAGCCAATTAAAAAGAACTTTTTTTTTTTTTTTTGGTTCTATATGTATTTTGGTCCATTTCATTCTAGGAAGGTTATAATTGTATCAGCATGGAAGAGAAAGATCTTTCTGTGAGAGACAGGCAGTATGTTGTTGTCCAGCTTGTGTACTGGTATTGAAGTCTCCAGGCTATCCTGCTATGGTGCAGAATAGAAGCCAGCTGGTGTTTTAATAATTTCTCTTGAAATTGCAATGTGGTGACAGGGGTAAGGCTGAGAGGAGTTTGTTTAGAGGCTTATGAAAATCACCAATCTAAATGGCATTTCGCATCATATCTAAGTTCTCAAATGAACWCAGAAACATTCTTATTGTCATCCTGAGTAACTGAGTAAATTGGACAGAATTAATGTTTCTGAGTCATAGCTTTAGGAAATGACAATAGCTTATACAATGCTCAAAGAGATACAGAGCCTTTTTGCTCTTTTGCAGCATTTTGTCATGGTCAATATTTGTACCAATGTATGTCTAGTTTGATTTCTGTCCTTATTAAATTTGTGGAAATGTACAGTGAAGACATGAACTAGCATGAATGATAATGAAATTTTATATGTACACTCCCCAACCTTTCTTCTGACACCTCAATTCTAATTATGTATGTCCTCTCCTATGAATTACTTACTGGCTTCCTCCTTTKGTCCTTTTTATTATCCTTGCTTGTCCTCTTAATTGTTCCTAGCAACTGCTGCTAGGAGTTTCCTTGGAACTTCCTTTACGCATACACACACAAGTCCATTAATGTTGCCTTCTGCTCCACAATGCACACATTGAAGGCTCTTTGGGAGAGTARCAGCACAACAATTAAGTATTGTTGGCACACTGTCTGAAAATTGTTTGCTTGGAACGTCTCTGTAGCTGGTTTTGAAGTGTCGTTTCTTATCTTTCTGGCAAGATGGTGACATCTTCCTGCAATTTTGTGTAACCTGTGYTGATTGGTAGTAATGTGTAGCGCTCTTGTTCGGAGATAAATGTGGTCCTCTATTACCATATTGAAAATACATAAAGTCCTTCAATCTCAGCACAGATATTCAGCAAATAAGACCTCTGTCATAATTCTACCTGTTTCATAAAACTGAGCCTGATAACCAGCATCATGCCTTTTGCTATTTCCCCTTCCAAAGGAGGCTGTTCTCAGTTACAAGAATAACCAGAGGAAGGACTGTGGCAATGACAGCAAAAGAGGGCATGAATGGCAGCTGGCTGACATGGCTTATGCCCTGGAAAGCCCCATAAAGCTAATAGCTCACACACTCACAAACAGCATATCCAAACAACTGGTTTTGTCCTGCTTGTGTTTGGGAAAGTCGTGCTTCTGTGGGTTTTTCAGATTGCACGTGTATCTTCTCTTCTGTAATAGCCAGGCCTTATGCCTGGGATTTGTTCCTTTTACTATATCCTAAATATCGACACCCCCTATAGTTTCACAGCTCCCTCTCCACTTTCACAGTCAACTTGCTTTTCCCTGTACTTTGCCCTGTAGCTCTTCAGAGCCACCAAATGCTGCCAATTGTTTTCTTAAATGTTTCTAGTCTGTATATCTTCCCCGTCCCATTTCCCCTGCCCCATGTACTCTGTGGGAACTCACACGGCAGTAGCTTGTGTTCCTAGTCTTCCAGCCTGGGAATAGTGAAAGGACAGCCCAGCAGAGTGTGCTGTCAATTCAGCCTCTGTTATCTGGTGTGCTTCTGCTATGCATCAAGCAGGTGGCTAAAGCACAGAAAATTAGGTGCCAAGAGGACTTTTTTGTTGTTTCCCTGCTGTTTATCCCAAGATTTGCAGTTCAAAGGTGGAGCACAGTCAGTGATGGAGGGCGAGGAGAGGGAGTTACTGATTTTCCCCACCACTGCTATCTGTGTCCTCTGCTGCAGACAGGGAGGCCAGGCAGCCACAGCAGATCCTRGAGACAGCATTAAATCCTGCTGTGTGCTGCTACATAAGTGAGGTGGCCTTTTTTCCCAGAGCATTGTTGTTGCAATGTTTCTAAAACAGGTACGTTTGTAGATGGGGATGCAAGTCTTGGGTCTAGTTTGGAGGGAAAGTAATGTGGGTTCGAATCCTGCCCTTATGTTCCACTTCTTCAAACACTTATTATTTTAAATGAACTTTTTAGGAGAGTTTAGTTGTCTATTTTAAGTTTAGCAAGTATTGGAAAAAACGGAACAAAACTTAACACAACCACTCCCTCAAAACCTCCCCAAAACCCTCAAAACAACTAAAACATCTGAAAAATCCCACAGAAGCTGAGCTTGAGTTCTGGTTATTTAATGTTCTGACTGTGGTTGTTGTAGTTGTTGGCAAGTTCTGGCTTCTTTTCATGCTCAAAAAGCATAGTGCTAGGGCATTTTCAGTTCCAGCTCTTTGCCAAACACGAGTGTTTTCAGCTATCTGAAAGTTTGGGCAGTGGGAGTGTTAGTAATATTGGAATTTAAGTGGTAGTTTTCAAAGACAGGAGCTAAAATGCAACTTCTAATTACCCTAAAATTCACCTTGTGAACAGAAACCTGCTTTTAAAAATTCAATTTAAAAGGGGAAAATATGTGTTGAGAAATTGTTCTACCTTTAGCCCACTGAAATTAGAGGATGGTGAAAGAGTTTTCCAAAATCCTAGTGGCTGTCAGCCAAGTTGGGATCAAAATAAGCTGTACTGAAGCAATTAAGAACTTGATGGTTTTAAGATTAAATTTTCTTCATTTCCCTTAATCTAAAGTTGTAGACAGTTCTGTGGGTATCTGACAAATGAGGATCAGAGAGGGAGAGAAAGAGAAATGAGAGAATCAGAAAGTGGTGGCGGATAGTTTTCTTTAATTTCTTTAATGAATTGATATCATTAGGCTTTTCTTTCAATAAACAGAAATTGTGCTGAAAGCAAGTATTGGCATATAAGCTTGATAGGAAAGGTGTGTAACTCTTTATTGTATTTTTGTAAGTGGGATAGGACAAGAGGCAATGGACAGAACAGATACACACAAAATTCTACCTAAATGTGAGGAAGAACTTCTTTACTGTGTGAGTGACTGGGGTACTGGAGGTTGCCCAGAGATGTTGTGGAGTCTRCCTCACTGAAGATATTTGAGAACCACTTGGACACAATCCTGTGCCATGTGCTCTAGGATGATCCTGCTTGAGCAGGGAGGTTGAACCAGATGATCCACTGAGGTCCTTCTAACCTGATCCATTCTGTGGTTCTGTGGCAGTTAATGTGCTCCTAATACAGAATAGAAATGTTTTTGCTAGACAGGATTCAGCTCTTAAGAGCATTTGAATCTCCTATAATATAAACCAGACTTCAACTGAGCAGTAACATGCTAAATATAATTATTCCCTTGTTTATGGTGTTTTAGGAGAATCTAAGTAATTTTGTCCTGTGAAGAGGAGTTTAAATGACTCTGACTTCTTTTTTCATTTAAAAGTATTGTTAGAAAGTTGTGCTGTTGAGTAGTCACCAGATAGCAATGTGATAGAGATAACAGAGATAGCATTTACCAGGGGTATGTCTGCAAGCTAAAATCGGGAAAATGCTCGTAGTAAGAATAAAATACTATTTTTACAGGTGGCTTCATGTGTTTRAAAAAAAAAAAAAACCAAAAAACGAAAAGCCCTAATAACTTAGATGTAATAGGAAAGCTTGAAATTTCCTATCAAAGAACTGTCACCTAGACACATAATAAACCAAGAGAGAAAAGTTGAATGTGTTCAGAAACACTGAAGACTTTTTTGGATGTGTCTGCACACGGCTGCTGCCGGAATTGGCATAGGTGACCTCAGCAATTTTTCATTCCCCTTTTTCCTGAGGTTTTGAGACTCAGTGCTGCAACTTGCATGCCAATGAATGGAACTAAATATAAATTGTATAAATCCATAGTTGTTAAAAAAAGATTAGAATAGTACTGTGAGTATATACACATTTTCCAACTGCTTGATTTCAGTATATTAATCTGTCATCTGTCCCTTTTTTTTCTGTCAAAAATTAGTGCAAGCCCCCAAAGTGGTCCAGAGAGAGCCACTGGACCTGATCTAGACTTCATGGAAGAGATAGAAGAACTTGCAAAGGAATTTATTGATACTACAGAGAAAGCCATGGCCTTAGAAAAGCTATGGGAGGAAAATTCAAGGCTCTCAGGTAATCTGCAATCTTTCTGAAAATGAATTTCTTTGCTTATCAGGTAGCAATAGCCATAAAACAAAATAATAATTTGATTTTTAAAATTAAGCAACTATAATTTTAGCTGATCTAAGAAAAGTTACTTTTATGATTAATATTGCTATGGTCATCAAAATGATCAGAAAGAAAAGTTAGCTTTCTAAAACTGTGCTCTTGTATACTTGAGAGTTAAGAAAACATCGAGATAAAGCTTAAATGATAAGGATTATAATCAGAGTACAATGCTCTGTCATGCATTCAAAAGTAGTTTATGAGGATTTTGCTTTCCCTCTCCGTGTTTTTCCGTTGTACTAAAGAGTACAGGAATGGAAAAAAACAGTAGCTCACACCTGGTGACCTTCAGTCTTGCAGAGAAAAGAGTGAGACTGGAGACAGCAGGGTCTGAGYCTCTTGTTCCATTTCCACCCATATTGCACAGCCTTGCTGCTGGAGCAAGGGGGCACTGAAGTCTTGCACTACCCTGCCTTTCTGGCTGAGTTTTGAAGCAGAATGATTTAGGTGAAATGGTAGTTTTCATGCCTGGCCATCTGGCAGCTAACGCATTCTTCTAGTGTTGATATGATGCTTTTGCCTCACTAAAAAATGAACAGTAAGCAATGTCTTAGATTTTTTTGTGATTACAGTAAAAGTATTGGAAGCACAAAAAATCAAATGGATCCCTATCTTTGGGATATTAGTTGCTTCATGTGCCTTTACTTCTGTAGAAATACCCTTTGTGCACTGCTTACAGTTGCTTATATTATTTATTCCTCAAAAGATAATAATGCTTCTCTTTAAAGGAAAATATTTCATTTTGCAGGGCTCCATAATATCACCACTTTTCTTACTGTAAGTATTTTTTACAGTCTATTTCTAGGTTACAGTTCTGGGGTTTGATACATCTTTATTGTAAAGATACAGGATGCAAAGTAATTTGTATCCTGACAAGTTTCAGTAAAATATCTTTAAAAAAAAATTATGTGCTTGAAGGAAAACATCATGTCTTGTAAATCTGATAGATGTTCACTGGTTTCTAGATTACTTACTTAAACCAGTCTAGGTTGTTAATAGCTGAAATCCACTTGCAGGCAATTTTTATTATTAGGAGCAATTTACAAGTGCATCTGCCAGATGTATTTTTTCCATATTTGATTSATTGTTACTGCTACTTCATGAAACCTAGATTTCCAGTTTGTAACTTGAAATTAGATGGCGTTTTTATAGTAACGTTTTTAATTGCTCATTAGATCATTGATTGAAAGGAGCCATATCAATTTGAAAGTTCATTTCTGGAGTGGAATATAGAATAGAAAGAGTGTATTTCTCAACACTAAGGAAATATTTAGTTGTCAGTAGCTGATCATTATAAGAGATTGTACATACAAGCTTTTTTTTTTTATAAACCATGCTCATGTCACCATTATGAAAAAAGGTCCTAGTGAAACAGTAATTTAGAGAGGCAAAGACTGCATAAGAAACAGGTGTGATAAATCCTGTTTTGCATAATATRTAGTCCTGTAAAAGAAGTTGTGTTATCCCAGTCAGTTAATCTTTAAATACCCATTATAAATTATTATTTGAGACCCCCACAAACYCTGCTGTGAGTTGTGAAGCAAGGATGGCCTGGCCTGGGCAATCCTGCCCTGGACTTAGAAATTCACTGCTGGGCTAAAGAGTTCCTTGTGCTTGAGRTCTCAAAGGTAATCTTTCTCTTGGGAGAGGGTTACACTTCTGAGCAGAAAGAGATTCCTTAGATTTTCTTCCAGCCCCATTTTTCCATGAGAGCAGAAACTTACCAGAAACAAAGTTTCCATAAGTTCAAAGTACCACCAAAATAATGTGGTATAGTACCAAATCTAGAGGAATATTTCTACTTTGGAAAAATATATGGAATGGTTTAAAATTCAAGCAAGTCAGGGAAATTACAGGCACCTGCTGCTTTATTTTTTTCTTCTGTTAATGGAAGTGTTGCATGTAATTTTTTCTTTTCAAGATGGATTTGAATGAAGCAGAGAAAATTATTTCTAGAGCAGAAAATCTGTACAAGCAACCATATTTCTGGAACCTTCTACATTCACTCCCTCATCTTGAATGGAACAGCTTTTATACAGAAGATGAATTAGCTATCATAACACAATTTCTACAAGTTATTCAAAAGTAAGTACTTTTACATTCTTGAAAGTATTYTATCATAAAATTCTAACTGCAATTCTTGTTCTCTCTGGCTTAATACTTAATAAAATGGGCATCCTTATCAGTGCAAAGGATCTAACATTTTGTTCTCTCTGCCAGATTGGGCTTTTATAGAACTGTGTTAGGAGTTTTCACCCACACTATTTCCTTTATAACTGTGTTTTTCATCCCTGCCAAACTCAACAGAGATGCCCTAGGAGACTTTGATAAGCAGCTTCATGTTAGCAATGCCTGAAATTATCCCATCATATAATATGGCTTTGAAATTTGTAAAGTGTTTTGGGGGCCTTTGAAAGACAGAATATGAATACCAGAAAAAAATAGATTTGATCCAAATCAGATCTGAAWGTATGTAGCACTTGGTCAATATCAGGAAAATTACTCAATTTTGTTTCTTAAGCCTCTTGGTATCGAAATAGCTTTAGCTCTTCTCTTGCAAGAAATGAAGCGGTAAGAAAAAGCCCCCATTGACTGTATTCCGAATCAGGTAAAAGACAGTTGGATTCAGAGGAAGACATAGAATCAAAGCATAGACCAAGGCACATATCTATTGGAATTTGCAGTAAAATAAGGTAATTGTTAGGTAAAATTCAGAAGTGCATTTGTCATTGTAGGCAATTTGTTGTAATCGGTTGATAGGTAATTGTCACTATAGTGAAATAACAATCATAAAGCTGGAGAAGGCCTCTGTGCCTGTGCAAGACTGGCCATATACCTCACCAGCCTTAGCCCATGGGRGAGCAGGGRCCCAAASACCCCATGAATGAGAAGTTACTGTGCTCTTCTGTCATCCTTTAGCATCCCACTGTCATTTTTTTTTTTTTTTTCTCTAATTAAAAATCTCAACAAACCAAATCAAACCAAAAAACCCAATCATATATGAAGGATATAATGGCATAACATTTTCAAACTGGGAAATAAGCCTCTCTTACTATATATGGATTGTACCTATGTTCATGCTTGATTTTTAAAATTTATTTATTTTTCCCTTATGCCTGAATAATTTGTAACCTTATTCCAGCTTGTTCTCTGAGCTGTTARCATGCAAAACTGCATTAGCTGTGCTTGTATCCCCAAAGCAGAATTATTTTCTGGAAGGTTTGCAAACTCTCAGTGTCTGAGTATTTGTGAGGTCAAGCAGAAACCTGGTTGTAAGTTTATGCCTATTTTTTTCTTCTTCAGCAGGARTAAGCACACATAGGAGTAACCACTGGCTGCTGTTCTGGGTGAAGTTATGAACTGGTTAATAAAATCTCAGCAGCAATTTCTCTATCTTGAAGCTATAGCATGGACAGAGTGACAAGGGGACAAAAGTGAAGGGTGCCCATAGTTATGGTGTTTGTCTTCCCATGTTGTAACTACTAGRCATACATTCCTGGTTCTAGGAAGCATCTGCATATTGATGAAAAGGAGGGAATTAATTCTTGGTTTTGTGTTGCTTACATGCACAACTTTTGCTTTACTTAAATTGTTTTCAGGTCGATCCCTGTGTCCTTCTGCCCTCATTTTATTTTCTTCCTGTCCTGTGGGAAAAGGGAGTAAATGAGCAGCTGTGTAGGTGCTTGGCAGCCATCTGGGGTCAACCCACAAGTGATTAGTAGAAGGACAGTCAGATGTTACATATGGGTTTTGGTGKTTTTGTTTGTTTGGGTTTTTTTKAAAGATTTCAGTGTCTTTCATTGACCAAATTTGCCATCATTAATGCAATTTGGACAGCAAAGTGCAAAACCCAATGCATGTTTCTTGACTAGCTTCATATTACTATACTGTGTCCTAAGGCAGAATTTAGCCAGCAGAAATGTTCTAAATTTATATCTCCTTCTTTCCGGTTTGTACATTCTTGCTGTGTCACTCAGAGGTACTTAACAGAGACTTTTAACATCTATGTGACTGGCTTTGGATTTCTGTGGTTGGTTGTGGTTTGTTTTTTTTTTTTTTTTTTTTTTAATTTCTTTTTGTGAATGTTGAAAACTGATGACCCACTCTGGTAAACTGGATTCTTATTCATGTAGTAAGAAATTATTACTCTGTAGAAAATAACTGGTAAATTTGACATAAATCTTAAGTAATAAATTAYAGGTACATTAACAGATTTTTTTTTCACAGCTTGGGTGACTGGGACTTGTAAGCAATTCAATAGACTTATTTTTATCAAKACATTCTGTAATGTGCTTTGTTTAACTTCTTGTGACGATAAGTATTATGTCACTTTAAAAATAAGGTTTTTTTTCTAGAGACTGACTGAAGTAAAATGTAAGTATTCTGTGTTGATCCTGTCTTGTTGTGGAGATAACAGAGAATGTTTGTRGTGGTTTGCTCTTATTTTTGCTAACCTATTTTTCTTTTTTTTAAGAGGACATTGGTCCTCTCAGGAGACATTTTCTTAATGGAAATTGACTGATAATCTAACGGTAAAATCTCAATTTTTGTTTTGTTCATTTAAACTCTAATTTAATAAAATATTGATTTTTCAACAGTAGAAAAAGTGTTTTATTATTCAGTTACTTGAATGTTGTCTCTATCCAGCAAGACCTCTCTGATTTTTTGGCTGTATGGAGAGATTTATTTTTSTTTTATTTTTTTCACTTTCAGTACSTTAGCATCATKGAAAGATTTAGCTATGATGCCACTKGGCCAAAGTTTCTATGAAGTGATGAAAACAGCCCTGAATTTAACTGCTGCATCAGTACAGGATAGGCACTTAGAAGGTGAGAAATATTCAGATTTTCTTTGAAGTACCTCATTAGCAAGCTGGAAATGTACGATAGTAATTGTTGGAGCTTCTGTTAAGTTCCCGATTCCCAGGGTATTGCTGTAGCCATTCTTTACTGATCTGCTTTTTAAATACTAGTAACTAAATTTTATCAGACTCTGGCAACTATCAGATAAAGCACTCTGGTCTAATATAAGCTGTTTAGAATAGTCTCTCAGTGGTGAATTTTGGAGAGAGATAAATCAATACAAAGGATAGTTTCCTTCATTTGATAGAAGGAGAGCATTTTGTTTTGGACATGCATGTTAAGCATTATGACTGGTTTACTTTAAGCTTCATTCTTCAGTTGTCATAAATTCTGCTCTCAGCTGAAGGGCTACATTTATCCATCAGCTGCTTCACTGATGGAAAAATGAGTTCCATTCCACCAAATGGAATATGAGTTTAATTGGAGAAGGTAAGCTGGCCCCAGGAAAACTYCTCAAAAAAAGGTCAGGAGCAAGTTTCATGGGCAAACTGGAGCACACTACATATTGGTGCAGTTGTCTGCTTGGCATGGAAGGTGAAGCTAAGAGTAACATGCAGTCTAAATCCCACTTCACCTGCCAAAAGGAAGGCTGAAGTCATACAAAGGTGATGTGCTGGAGCTCTGGTACAGAGGRTGAATTTGAATCCTCAGGAACTTTTTCAACAGGTATTCTCCTGTTGCTCTCATTCCCAGTAATGATTCACATCCAGTCTACCCACACACATTTACATAACTCTGCAGTTCAGAATGGCACCCTGCTGTTTTTGCTGGCAATCACTGTGCAGAGGCAGCTCACCATCATTATATCAACTGCTGAAATGYCATCACATTAACTGACCTTAGCACTAGTACAATCATGGATTTTATCGTAGGTAAATTACTGTTCAGGTACACACTTGCTACTGCCTCTCAAAAAGCTGAGAATGTGGTACATAGATATCAACAAGTATGAACCATGCAGAAACTACATGGGAAAAAAGAGAAGGAATTACATAAACAAAAAGTTTCCTTTYTTTCAGGTTTTCAATACAATCTTTCTCTCCGGGATGTTTTGTGGAATCCTCTCACTGTGAAAAGAGAACTTGAATCCAGGTTTGGTTTTGATGGTCCTCATGTTGAGAAGCTGCTAAGTTATACAGCACAATTAACAAAGGTAAATTAGCTGAAAGTTTCAATGCCATTCTCTTTGATTTTTTTTTATTTGTACCCTGAAGGGATTTTCCTGTATTACAAATCTTAGATTTGTGAAGCAGCTACAAGGTTGTTAAATATCCTGGCTTCATTCCCRTCAGAAGAAATGTATTTAGCTTCAGCTAAAATTTCTGTAGATACTGATAGGTCTAGTTGTGTACACTAATGAATTTATGCTTCTCTGAAGTCACAACTGTGTATGGCAGAGTCCTGAGTTTATTATCCACTCCTGCAGAGAATTCTGAGGATTGCTACACTAAGCTTTTAAACCAAATCCTTAATTTGAATCTGCAAGGATTAGCTTGTSTGGTAGTATTTTTCATCTGGTTTGCTGAACAAAGAATGCCTGTCTCTTCTGTGTGTAAATTAAGTGCACCAAGAGKCCTTTCTTCTCAGTTGTGCAGTCTTGATATGAATGTATTAGACTGAGTTTTCTCAGTGGTGCTTAATCAAATATATTGATAATGCWTCACTTTTAGAAGAAAATCTCTTTCCTCAAAGGGGGTTTTCTAAAGTATCCTCTAGACCAAAGTGGTCTGTTGAAGCAGTCTGGTTTTAAATGCTTTGAAATGTCATTTGAATTCTTTAAGTCCATGGTTTTTCTAATAGAACATGTTGGTGTTTATGTGAAATCCATTTGTTCTTTGCAAAGCAGTATGGTTTAGAGTTATATTTCAGAAGGGTTCATTGTAAAAATAGCAGATTTAACAAAAGGATAAACTATTGACCCTTGACTTTTGAATGGCCWTATAATGAAATATCAGTAATGGTCTATTTGTTCAACTGAACTGAATTCAGTTGCACCTTGGTAGCTATGGTTGGCTGTGAAATCGCAGGTTACTCACTTGCTAACTATTTAAGCTAATACTTTAATATTTTGTGCTTGTGTTAGAACATCGAAGACCACCAAAAGGTATGAAAGCAAATATGGAAACCTCAATAATGTTTGTTTCAAGCCCTTTAATTCTGGATCTAATGYCCCATTTTGTTTGGTGACAAAACATATGCAAAACTTTTTATGAATTCTCTAGTCAAAGTTGGAAGGAGCTGGGATGTGAAATGTCTGAGAAGGGCAATAACAAAATTTAAATGTGTGGAATTATTTTTGTAAGCTTTAATAATATTTATATGCTTGGGGACACTTAATCTTTCATCATAAATTTAAACATTGGTCTATGAGGAAAAAACTCTTCTCTTGGCCATTCTCTTGAAAACCACCAACCTCAATTTAAAACTAGTCTGCTGCATGTAATTACTGGTTGAGATGTGTCATTGTATTAAGTACTTTTTATATGAGTAATTTTTATACTTGTGAAGTTGTTTCAATATAGTTATTCTACTGTAGGGGTAATGTGTCCTGGTCAACTTAATTCAGCACCAGCCTGCAAATTACTATAGAAGTAGCTACACTGGCTTAGCTACARGGTGAAAATTCCTTGCCTATAAAGGTCTCATCATTCTGCCTGCTGTAGGAGCACCTTAATGGGGCCATTGGTATTTTACACAGCAACCTGCATGTCAGGTACTTGAAATATGTATTCTGGAATATGAGGCTGGACTAAATGGGCTTTTTTCTCACTGAAGAGGCTATGTGCTATTCTTATTTTCACCAGATAAGTAAGTTGATAGGAGAGAAAACACTCAGCAGGTCTCTTGAAATACTCATCAGTTGCTTGTGTCCTTGCCAGATTCCCACCACAGAGACACTGGAGCAGTTTGTGTGCTCTGCTCTGGCTCTTGTGCCAGAAGATGAAGCAAACAAAGAGAATAATGGAGAGGACTGTAATTCTGCACGGCAGGAAGCCAAACTGTATCTTGTTCATGCTGTCAGCAAGCTCAGACTCTATGCACAGGTAACTTTAATAAGTTAATAGATTGAATWCCTAATTTTTGCACATAAATTGTCAGCAGTAACTCGCTTAAAAGATCCAAGTTATCTATTAAATGTTTTTTTCATGAGCTTTCTTGCTAATAAAATTAAGCATTCTTTATAAAGAACCATTACAGTAGCAGTATAATCTATCATCATGTGTCCACTTAATCAGATTTTCTCATTAACTGAAATTCAGATTTGACATCTGATAGGAAATTTAATTAAATATACTGCAATGAAGAGACCAGTCTGAGGGAAGACCCATTTACAGTCCCACCTGAGACTGAATGTTGAGCAAAACTGAAAGGTGACTAGAGGAGTACACCAGTATTTAACTAATTTATTTATTATTCTCCTCCATGGTCTCTGGCCATAGTGGCTGAAGCAGGATATAAGTAAACCGCCAGTATAACATTTTAAAATTTTGATCTGGCAGAATAGCTTAGCATGTAGTCTCTATAATAGCATATATGTAGCTGCATGGAGAAAAAGATAAAACATTCAGATGTTTTCCTAAGGAAAAACACATAGCTTCCTTAACACTGGTTTTTATACTGAAATATGTTGATTTTTTCCATTAAAAAATTGTCAAGCTGCTCTGGAGATGTTTGCAATATCATCTAAAGAAAACATGTATAACTTCCCATGTATTTCCTCAAAAATACAATCTTTGCTAAGGTTTTCCTTCTGTATGATGACTTGAAGCAATAATTTAATGTGATTGACAAAAYGAATGCACTAATTCCTAGGTAGGAAATTCCAGTAAGAATTTCARCCATGATTTAAAAACTCTTAGCAAGGGCTGACATTTTTATGATGGGAACTTGAGGCTGCTGGCCACTGTGAATTTTCTTGATGAAYAAAATATCTCTTAGAGTAAACCTGATATATTCATTCGGCATTAGAAAGAAAAGTAAAGGTGGAGGCAAGGAAAGAAGTCAGTAGGTTTGGCCAGGCCTTTGTGTTCTTTTTTCCTGGGCTACACAATGGGAGCATGCATGCTCCTTCACTGTCTCTTGCCAAAAATATTAAGGCTGATATATTCCATCATATTGGAAGTGTAGGCAGAAGTCAGGTAAAGGAAGCCTAAGTAATTGGCTTTAGAGGTCAGCTTTTGGTTASTTTCAGTCTCAGGTCATCTTTTTACCATTCCGGGGTCTTTGGAGAAGGTCAGCCTCACAAAGGATGTCAGTTGTTTGTATAATGTAGCATGGTACATTGCCAATTTGGAGGTCTGTCAAAACTGTATGGAAAATCAACCTTTGTCTGGTCAGTTGTTTCAGAGTCTAGAGAGGTCATTAGGGAGAAGTTTTACTATCATTGCTAGTTGTTTGAATTATTTTAAAGACATTAAAATGATGTGTACTAAATTAGAAAGCTTTGATTCTCTAACAAGGTGTTCTGTTTTGCATTTAATCCATTAGATATTTGAGCAATGGCTCAGCAGCAGCAGTCTCTCTCAGAATCTCCTYCTGGAAATTAGAAGAATCATGGTTGAGTTAATGTCTCAGCTTCTAGATGACAGGGAAGCCAGAAAACTTTTTTCAGAGATAAATACCCTGATGCAGCAATGGAATGAGAAATCAGATGCTTATTTTTCAGAAGGATATGTTTCATCTCATGATTGGTAAATTATACTTATCTTTCTGCAACTTTTCTTATGAAATTAGATCGACCTGAATATTCACTTTCATTTTGCATTTAATTGATTTCTGATTTTTGTCTGTTTATTTTTTATTCTGTAGTTCAAAACCTTGTATACAGTCAAATAATTGTGCTGATGCTGACACACTCTGGAAAAGAAATTAAGTGTGTGCTTCAGAGTGTAGCTGTGCTTACAGGTTCAGCAAAAGAACTGGCAACTACATGATCAGGACTCTCAAGAATCAGCAGCTGTGGATAATTGGCATTTTGAACTAGGACCTGGATTCTTTATCTTGTTCTGCAAACAAARTTTAATTCCCACAAGTAGCTGCTGTTACTCAGTAATAATTCTCATRTATAGCAAGTCCAGTGTATGTGAAATATTTTGAATTTTTATTGCAAAAGTTAAAGTTGGGTGTGCAGGATAACAGAAACCTAGAGCAACAACTACAGCCTATGGAAAACAGGAAAAGAATTTTGAACATGTAGAATGAGCTGACCTAGATATGTAGTTTGCAGTCTCATCCAGGGCTCTCTGAGTCCCTGATTTCTTTTCATGTTTTTGAATTTTTCTTATAGTTCTCTAGTTTATCACTTAATGCAAATGTAAATGCAGTTTATATGAGGATGTGGCTGTTAAGTCCTGCACTTAAGAATGGTATGCTTTGTCAAGCTGTTCAAAATTCTTTTCCTGTTTTCCATGATCTGGAAGGTTCTACAGAGGACTTAGGCTGTACATAAAGGGAGTTAATGTTTGTCAGAGTTGGCAGAGCCTCAAGAAAAGTGTATGGCAGAGCACAGGAGCTGATACTTCCCTCTTTCTAACTTCACCCTGGATGACTTGCATCACTTCTGGGAGTTACAGCATTGACCTCAATTTGGCATTGGTTGTAATCACTTGTTCATACCAAACACTGTAACTGGGAGAAATATAATTCATGCTACACAAATCAACACGTGAGAATAAATCTGAAAAATACAATCCATTATCAACTACTAAGAGAGAAGTTGCAGTCAAGTTGTTCAACARTTTAGTAGTAGTGTGTTTTGAAATTTGGTTCTTATATATTAGCAGTTTTACCTTTTTGTTTGCTGTACACAATGTTTTTGTGCTTTACCTCTGTTGATTGCAGTGTCTGGAGAGAAAGAAAATATAATTAAGATATTTTCAGCTTGAGGCCTTTGCACTCAAAGGCTTTTTTTTCTGTGCACCTCCTCTTGACCAGTCTTAAAGAGCTAGTAATTGTTTTTTCATTGAATAAATAGTACTGACACAATTGGTGAAACAGTTGGTGCATTCCAATTTTCACTATGGTTTCATGTTTTGTAGATATTAAAATAGCAGTGTTCAGCTATCAGGCAGTCAACTGAAATGTTTTAGCAGTCAATAATTATGAGAAAACAAAAAAAATCTTTAGAATTTGTAGAAAATCAGAAATTTTGATCAATTTTATTGATACATTCCTGCCAGTAAAATAATTAGTCTGTGGAATATAAAAGCTCTGTTCTTTTCAGCAGCTAAAAATGTGATGTACTCGAAGGTGTTTGACTCTTTGTGGCTTACAAAGTTGATTAGAAGTACTGATAAATGCACAATTCTTTAATTTTGCTGTCTATGTTCAGTTTTGATTTGAATGAGGTTGTGACTTTCCATTGTGGGTTTTTTTCATATTTTTGAAAACCTAAACAATTGTCAATTTGTGGTAATTCACATTTTGAGGTGATTAATTTGTGCCTGCTATTTAAATTATATTTGGAATTTCCTTGAATTATGTGAATAAACCTAGAGTCTAAAATTATATATTTAACATTTTTTTTTCTATGTGCTAGATAACTAACCAGAAAAAATTATGATTAATTTTTCAGGATTTTGACATCTTTCAAAGAGTTTTTGAAGACAGAGGAAAATGTAAGGATTTCTGGAGAAAAGAAAATGGATCATCTTTTTCATCTTGTAAAACTCATAGAAGAAATTATGTTTGATTTCTCAGATTCTTTGAACAAGTCCCTAATTAAAAATGCCTTGAATAATGTAATTATATCGATAAAAAATTTTGCTGAGGGGAAGGAATTTGTCACCAATTTCTCACTTGCAGTTTCTGAACTCCATAATCAACTTCAAAAAAATTTCCAGCGTCATCAGAGGTTCTGGCCAGAAAAGAAGACAGAACTTTTCTGGCATATAGTGGAAATTTTATTCCATGAACTTGATTCTAGGCTTTCTCACTTGAGTCAAGTAGAAAAGGAAGAGGTAATTGTGACCTTATCTAGAGTWTTATCTTTTATGACAGAAAATAAAATCTATAATAGGAGTAGTGTGTTGCTCAAAAATATCCTGACTGAATGGCCAGAGTTAAATATTACTGCTTTGAACCATTTAAAACATTTAAGTGGCTATTTCCAAAGAAAGCTCTATGAAGYTGGATCATTGCCTGGTGATCACGTCAATGTGTCTTTTAGTGCAATTCCTGGAGTGAGTAATAACTCCTCTTTATTTCTCTCAAATGCAACTTTTATGTATAAGGTACAAGAATTAGGAGAAATTGTGCACGATTTCCTCAGAAATATCCAAAAATTAAACAGTACTAGTGTTGCCTCACTTATTCCAAAAATTCTCACTCTGTACCAAAACGATGATCTGGTTTCAAATATTAAGACCAATAATACTCTATTAAGRCTTCTTTATGAGACTTCAAAAAGTATGTCATCTTTTCCAGTGTGGCATGACTTGCACAATAAGGAACTAGTTTTTRATTTTCTGTTTGAAACTTTTGATCWTCTCTGGAACCTYACCAGTAAGTCTCTCTGTGAAAAGTTACTATTCATTTACAACTTCACYGAGTTTCAAGCCCAGTTTCTTGCACAGAATGGAAAAAAAGAAATACAAGTTGTCTATGACATTCTGAGCAGCCTTAAAACTTTATTTATAGATGAAGAGCTCCAAACAGCTGTCTTATGTTATTTGGAAGAGTTTTTTGATTTGCCTCCAGAATGCCTGGTAAATAATGGATGTGCTGATTTTTATCTAGAAAACACGACTTCTGTAGAGGTTCATTCAGCAGAGGTTTATAACTTACTTCTGCTTCCATTGGACAGTGTCTTGTCTAATGTAATAAACGGGGGAGATAAGGTAAATGTGCCTTCTGCTTTGCACTGCACTTTTACATGGCTTCAAATATGGACAGAGATTTTTGAAGAAGCATCACAAATCTTAAATTTGAATTCAACCTGTTTTGTCTGTCTAAGGAATGATTTGGCATATCTCTCTGAAAGCCTTTTAAACGCAACTCATGGTGAACTGTGCAATAATACAGCTATGGCTRTTATTGAAGCTACAAGAGCAGCAATGAAGCTATTAAAAGCTGTGTTTCAAGAAGGTGGCAATTTAAATGACTTGAAAGATTTTGAGGCTTTCTTTGTTAATCTTCAAAGTGTACTTAACAATGCATTTGATGTCACAAACACACTTAAAGATAGCAGTTTGGAGAGTGTTTTAGAGACAATGGGAGTCGTGATAACCAAATTGCAGAAATCTYTACTGAAGATTGTTAATGAAGAGTTTTTGAATTCTTGGCTTGATGCTTTCATCTCAGGAGGATCTGAGGGAGAAGATAAGGGTTCTGGTGTATTTYCCATTGGAAAGTCCCTTTCTACTATTCTCAAGCTCTCTCAAAAGGAACTAGAAATTATTCTCACTGAGATAAATGACACATTTGCTTTTTTAAAAAGTGTGCCTCAAGACAAATATATGGTTTGTACCAGCATTTTCCAGAATATTACCAAACTAATTTTAAACAATACTCTGAAAGACTTAAGCTACTTGCAAACAAATTTTTCATCTCATCTTGACTCCTTTCTAGACTTTCATAGTACAATGGATGAAGCAGAGGAGTGTAATACATGGATAYATGGATTAAGTAATCTCACTGAAAAATACCAGTCACCTTCCCACCCTGAAAGTGCAAAACATGTTTTATTTCTTCTGCAATCTCTGGGAAATGCTGAGACAGATGTTAAGCTAATGAATGTGATGGAGTTTGTTAATTTGGTTTTTAATTTGACACTCCCTGAATGTTCCCTAGGTGGCTCTGATGTGATTTGTGTAAGTGTTTATTTCAATATCATAGCAAAAACTTTGGAATTTGTTCTCCCTGAATTTTATGTAAAAGATGACATTAGTGTGCTTGAATTTATGTTTAAACTTCTAAATAATTCTGGAGGACGAATACAAATGGTTATCAGTGATTTAATTGGGAGCTCATTGTATATGTTAAACAAGACCCATTTTAGTGAGTCAATCCATAGTTTTAACAGGACTTCAAGAATGCTCCTTAATCCTTTTCACCACATTCATCTTTTATCAGTGGAACTTTTGTYAGAAATTCAAAATCTTCTGAAAAATAAAACTTTTGGAGTCCAAGAAAACAGTTCCTCTCATTTGGATGATGAGACTGAACCTTTCTTACATGGGGAAGACATCAGTTTGCTGATGGAGATCTTTCAGGATATTACTAGAAAACTTGACTCAAACTTGCAGAATGAACACAAAACATTTCCTCAGAAACTGATAGAAACAGCAAGTCTGAATATTGAACTGGTAAACAAGGCACTTGAAATTTTCCAGTCTCCTAATTTTACTGTCTTTCCAMTAAGAGATGAAAAGGTGTTTCTAAAGCATATGGCAGCCTTAGTRCAAAACATGAGAAACATGGATGTTGAGTTTTTGATAAGTAGATTCAAACAGGTCCAGGAGAACCTAAAAAATTTCTTTAAAAATATCAACCCTTTTTCTGTTGAGAACWCTGAATTAGGTACTTTAACAGACTGGTGGGATGCATTTGAGAACATTTCGTGTTATTGGAATCTGACTGGTATATGGCAAATCACACAGCTTTTTGAACAAGATGAACTCTATGATATAGAAGATGTGTTCGACCTCTTCTTTGATGTCATCAGCCTTACAGAAAGAGTGGCTCATGGAAACATTACAGAAGCACTAACTGAAATGTATGCTTTCATACTGACTCARGAAGAAAAAATGCCATTGTTAACTGATGAGGAGTTCTCTAACCATGTAGAAGATCTTCTAATGTTATTGGAGACACTGGCAGACAACTCTGATGAATCTGGAGAAATCTCTGTTTGTTTTACTGTGGCATTCTGCTGGAGTTTCACAACAGCAACTCCTCGCAGTGACTCCACTGTTGATCCTTGTGACTTTGAGCATAACAATTCTACTCTTCATTACGATGTATTCATTGACCTCATTAAGGCGCTTAACCTCATCACTCCGGATGACAGTTTCGCTTGCTCTATGGAAGACTTTCMGACAAATATCACTCACAATCTGACTTGCTTTTTTCATCAGATCAAAGAATGGAACTCAATACTTTTGAAGTTTTTTGAACTCCATCATGTAAATAGCTCCRTTCTTCAAGAGCTGGTAGATTTTTGGAATGAGCTATCCTTATATGTTGTGCCACTGCATGTGAATAGTACACATGCAATCAATTGTTCGTACACACCAAAGAGCCAAATGGCTTTACARATCATAGAAACACTGGGCAACATTTCAGTGGCAGAAATGGAGACAGCCAAAAGTCTTTTTGAACAGCTGGAAAATCTTTATGGTGGCCTAAGTTGGAACAGACAGTCAAGAGCATCACTTAAAAGTGTTCTTACTGATGTTAAGAATATGACAAGTGAAGTTTCTAGACTTCTGAATACCAAAGCTGTTCTTTCTTTTCTTTCTGCAATTCAGCCTTTAATGACACTGTCAGATATTGGAAACCAGACACACTCAATGCTTATGACAATATCAGCTTTAAGTGGGAACTTGAGTATATCTGACAACTTTAAGAACTTCTGGTTTCCTGTAAATAAAAATTATTCTAAAATAATGCATGCATTATTTCTCCTTGTGACTAATGAAAGTTCATCAAATGACCTACTTCTGGCTGTCAAAGACCTCATTGACTTTCTGGAGCTGTTCCAAAATAACTCTAAGAAAGACTACACTGGTATGTTGTTTGGTGAAGATCATCTTAGCAAAGAGAAATTGAATAATACCCATGCTGCTAATTTAGTTTTGCTAAACAGCATCCTTCGTGTAATTGCTGATCTTTATATTACAGAAGACATTTTGWATACAAACAGTACTGAGCTTCATATAGTTGATTTCATTGATTCATTTTTTTATAATGCAACATATAGAGAAACTTCYACTCCATCCCAAAACAGAACTCTGAAGATCATGCAGGAGATTTTGCAAGTAATACTTCAGTCTACTGCAGAACATGACAGGAATAAAATAAAACTCTTACTAAAGGATTTGCATAAAGATGTAATGGCAGAAATGAGGTGAGTGTTTTCCATGTACTCATTTTGCCAAGTTTGCTGACAGTGACAGAAGAGCTGTTTTTGAACAGCTCAATCAAAACTTCTGTTGATTCCTGTTTAATTTCAGATTTGTTCCAAWTTATGCTGTTCAGACTAGCCATGTTTGGAATCAGATTACATTGTGTGGAACAGATTAATGATGTGTTTAGTCATATGTCTTGCTACTTAAATTGGTTTCTTTAAAACTATTATAGAAACAATTATTTGAAGATGCTTGTGTTTTAAAATCCTTGCCAGTCTGAATATTGAACCCTCAGTAATTGGTGGGCAGCAGTCATTTTTGCCTTTGGAACTAAATGTTAAGGAATGTTTGGGACTAATTCTTTGTGGGGTGTGTGTGGCTTTTTTCTATCTATCTCTATCTATAGCTATCTATATAAAGTTTCTTCAACTTAAATTTGTTGATGTGTTATGGCTATTGTGTTAAGCTGCTCAGTTTCACAAATGCAATTTCTGAAGTAATTTTGAGCCCAAGATAATTTTTGCCTGATTACTCAGATTAGATGTAATCCAGTAGCAGAGGAAACTGCTTCAGGAAAATGTGTACTGATGGTTTATTTAATAAAATGGCTGCTGGACTGCGGTTACTGTATTTAAACAATAAGAAATGAGCCTACAAGTTGATTGCTCCAAACAGCTGTAATGTGTGTTGCTGGTGGAGTTACTGGTCCTACTGATACAGACCAGCAGAGAAATGTCATTATGAATTTGGTGCTCTGATAGGGTATTTTGACCTTAATTTAACATTATGCAAAAAGTGAAACCAGTGGTGACCAGGGTCAGATAGTAACCAAATCTGTTGAAAAAAATCAAAAGCCTATACTAAAAAAACTGTTTTATTTCCCCTGCATGCTGATTATCAGAGATTTTGAGTATTCTGCTCTTTTCTATCAAGTCAGCATATTCKGTGGGCTCTCAGTATTGCTGAAGCTATTATAATTTTGCTTATTTTGTGAAGGTCCTTTCAAATCACTCCTAAGGTATTTTTTTAACATGCAAATATTATATTCTGATATTGAATTAGTTCAGACAAATGTAATAACTGTTAATGTTAAAATTCTTATATGTTTCATTAAGACTGCATGTGTRTATAGGCACTTGTTGAAATTTTTCTGTGATACCCTTGTATAATTTTTTTTATTAATGTTTCTACAGAGCATCAAAAATCTGCAAGATTCTTCAGGAACATTTATACCCTGATAGTGTTGTACTGTTGCAGAAACTGCAATTTACYGTTTTGAATATTCTCAAAGTCTTTTCAGGTTGGTTACAACATAATGAGTCACTGTATGTGTTAGTACACAGTACAGCTTTAATTAAAATTTTGTACAAATAAGGCAATTTGGGTGATGCCAAGCAAGGCAAGCATACTGATGCCTGGAAATTAAACCAACAGAGGCACAGGAAAAAACCTAATGACGATCATGCAAAGGGATGGTTTCTTTTTGGGGTGTTTATGTTGATTTAAATTCCCAGTGAAAGCATGAGATCTTGATTGTCCTCTTCAGCTAGTGAGCTGAGTTGAGTCACAGGGTTTTTTTTTTTTTTTAATGAGCCAAAGCTGCCACAATAAGGAAAAATGGGGCAAGTATTTAAAGGAAGTAGCATCTCCCTTCTCTCTTTGTTGAGCTAGTGAATTGGTTACCTATAGCTGAGAAACTTCACCTTCAACAAATTGTTCAAATTTTAATGTGTTATTTTGTTTCATTCCTTATGTATAGGCTCCCAAGATGTGCACTTAAAAAAAGGCGCTATATAGATCTGAGTATAATTTAATATTATCTTTTCTTTGGAAAGCAAAAGCCTGTGCTTTTCAAACCTCTTATTTTGCAAACTGTCCTCAGAATTGTTTGCAAAGAGCAATTAGGAGGCATTAACCTACCATTCTAGACCAAGGAATGAGATAYGTTGTTTATTTCAAAAAGAGTATAAGATGTGATTACCACCCAGTTCTGACTGTCTTCACTCTCCTGTGACCAGTCTAGTTCCAAAGAGTAAAACAATAGTGATGTTGAGCTAGAATAAGTGATACTGTAGCCAGGTGCCTGTGTTCTGTCCTTGACCTCTGAAAAGCAGTCTATTTATTGAGAGAACTGAGATTAAGAGCTAAATTTTTGYCATTCTCATTTCAATACTCCATTTGTGAGGATGTTTCATAATGTTTGATTTGTTACAGAAAACTTTATGAAACCTAATGAGAAAAGATGAAAACTGCTTGATTTGGTTTGACTTCCTGGATTGTGTTGTATTATATCTATGAGCAAGATCAGTATTTGCTTGTTTTAGAAGCAGTGGTGAATGCATGAACYAAACTTAAAGAAAAAATCCCACGGTTGAAAAAATTACTTTGATCCTGTCATAAATCAGAATCTAGGAGTCAAGTCAAAAGCCGTCGCTACTATCCCATGTACAAACCCACTATAGGCAGCAGAAGGGAGCTTTTCCCCGAGGACTTGGGGGCTGCAAGAAACTGCCTCCATGGATGATCAGGTGACAATACTATCACTCTGTGTAGGTTCATTGTCCCAAGATATGGAAAATGCTTATATAATGCTGTTTCCCTCCCTTTGCAATTTTGGATTTGAATGTTACTGCTCACTGGAGGGTTGGTAACACCCTGGGATCCTATTTCTACAGGGAAAKAGGATCAGGGAAGCCTACTGCAGGGAGAACATAGATGTGGTTAATATACTTAGCTTCTCCAGTTAGGTTTCTTGCTCATGAAGAGCAAATATGGAATTTTTTTCTCTGGTGCTGTAGCAGGTACAGATGTTCTTATAATTAAACAGGAAAGTGTAATGGAGAAGAGTAACCGAAATTGAATCAAACCAGCCTTTCTTATCCTCTGAAATGATGCATAAATTTAGTTAGAAATATTTCTCYGTGCCTTAACACATCAGGCTTTCCTTGCTTTTAAAAACTTTTCTGACCCATATTGGTTGGCTAACTTTTAATTTGATTCCGAGTTGTTTTTGTTWAACTGATTTAATCTGGACATTATCTCTTACAGAAGAACCCGTTGTCTTTGGCAACATTTTCTGTGCCATTGCAAAGTGTGAAGATGGATTAACGAGTCAGTTGCTTCTCGCTGTCTTTGAAGGGATTGCTGTGGTTCGAGATCATTATCAGGTCTGACTGATTCCCTTACCTACAGGTGTACCTTATAACATGCATTAAACTTTGGAAACCAATGAAGTTTTCCCTTTTTTTCCCTCTGCATGAAAAGGCCCCTGAGTGGCTATAAAAAGTTRAGGTTTGTACAGGCATAGCTTTGATGATTTTGATAGACATACCCAGAAGAAATTCCTTAAGTAAATACTGGTGAGCTTTATGAGCTGTAAATATGATTTAGAATTATTAGAAGTCCTATAACTAGAGCAATTAGATTGTAAATCAATAAAAAACAACAGCCCATTTTTTAATTTCTTTAAATATTGTCATACTGCTAATTTAATGAGTTAYAGTGCATTTATACTTTTAAATCTTCACAGGAACATTTTTGAAATTAAATTAGAGACAAATAAACTTCTTGGCCAGAATATTTCCCACTAAAATAGCCATGGTGATTATGAGTTGGGTTCAGTCTGTTGTTCTCTAAGATGGAATTACCAACAGATGCTAGTAATATTTGGCATCTAGAGATTCATCCAAAGATGGAAGCAGACCTTTGGATAGCACACGTATGAGTGCACACAGACAGAATTCTAAAGTCATGCTTTCAGTATAGAATTCGCATTCTTTTTATTAAATGACTCTGCTGCTTTGTCTACCTGGATATTTCCCTGAAATAAGCAAAAATGTGTTAAAATAAATAGATGACAAGGGCCATCACTCTTATTTTAAAGCACACTTTTGCAGACCAAATGTAGTTTTGTAGTTATCATCCTTCTATGAGCTACTTCTGATAATATTGAAAAAGCCTTTTAAAATAAAAAACCCATAAATATTCTGAAAAAAAAAATAGGAGTGCATATATACAGAGCATAATGAATAAAAAAACCTTTGGATAAGAGGATCCAGATATTTTGATTTGTTGAATGGAATCTGATGTTGTTCAAAACAAATTTTTCAGAAAAAAATAAAAAAAATAAGCCTAAAAAAAAAAAAAAAAAAAAAAAGAAAAGCTCATTTCATTTTGAAACAAATTTAAAATGTTGGCATTTGTTAGTGGAGAAATCTTCTTGACAGGCCAGTTCAAATTCCCAATTTGATTGTTTCCAGAACTCAAATATTTGAAAATTCCTTGGTTCCTGGAAACTTTTTATGCAGCATCAATTAACCATACAATGAGTAAGAGAGTATTGCCTTACCCATATTCTCATTTGAAAAAAGCAATTGCCAAGAGCTGCTAATTCAAGATATAGCACCGTCTCATTAATTTACTAACCATGTGATCACCGTGTTTTGCAGGATGTTGGAAGATATTGGCCTGCTTTCAGCAAGGGGGATTGTGAGAGTATGKCATATATAAACCAAAAACTTTCCAATATCTTGGAGAGCTTCRTGCGAGCCTTGCAGAATGCCAGCARTGACAGCTGTGAATGCCAGCTAATGCTGGGGAACATCCAGAGACGGCTACAAATGTAAAGTCTTTTACATTTTGGTACCCCAAATGGTTCTTCATCATTAGTGATGTTATTCTGTGCATASGTCTGTGTTCTAAATTAAGTAATTACAGGAGAAATACGGTCTTCTTAAGATTTCTTAATTTAACTGGAAACTGAGTGGATAAAATGCACAAATTATTTAAGTAATTTAGAAAAACTCTGAATATTTCTGAAAGCTCTTAAAGTTTTTGCTAAGCAGTTGCAGCAGATCTTGCTGCTCCATTGGCTGAATGCTTTGGATCACAACTAAGAATATTTTCAAYTTTCTGTGACATCAGTTAGGCCAAAATTTTGGTAACTAAATTGTTTRTTTATAGCTCTTTTAATGTGGCTGGTCCTCTCAATAGGTAAATATCTTTTTGTGAATTATTAAGCATTCAGATCAATTCAGCAGTTCAAAATGTCAGAAACACAGTATGRTGTTTGTAAATTGATGGGGTTGAACTCCACATAATTTCTCATAGCTGCTATTTGCTTGAGGAAAACCATTAGATTTTGAGGAAAACAGATTTTAAGTAAAACTGCTACTACAGCATATTTCAAACTTGCAATCAGCTAGAAGTAGACATTGTTATAATTGTTGTATAATGGTTTGATTGTTGGATTGTTTTCATAAGAGGTTTGAATGGTGTCTGAATTACAATAATAATATAGAAGAACTTGAGCCTAGATGCTGATCCTGATGTTGCTAGACCATGAGCTACTAGAGCCCTAAGCCATTACGGGAAGATCTCTACATTTGCAGTCTTATTTTAGGCATGAAATATAATGACCACTGCACCCTATAAATACAGCATGAGAAGGTCTGTAGAGGTGCTGCATGCACAGTGCRCACACAGAGCAGAATGGGACTCTATAGCTTCATTTATTGGCTGTTTTATTATTCCTGTTAGTCTTTATTCATTGAAGTGCCAACAATGACTTAGTTCTGATAACTCTAAGGCTTTTATTCCAGGGTGACTGAAAATTTGGAGCTACAATTGACAGAAAATCCAGCRGCAGCTTTCCTCAGCAACTTGAATCTTGTGAATGGTGCGTTTCAGTTTTCTTCACTTTTTTTACTTTTTATTTGTTGTGTAATTTTGTAGGACAGTAATTGTTTCTTTGTTCTTTCAACTTCCAAAGAACACTGCCTGTGGGCAATACTGACATAAGGCAATATTGTTGTTCCCAGTGAATTGAATGAAAAGAATACAATCTGAAGGAAATCTAATTAATCAAATTTGTGCTGTTGGCAATATTTCCCTTCCCTTCCAGATGTTAAAGTCAAAGATTTTGTGCAGAATATTACTCAGTTGAGGCTGGACATTGGTTCTTCTGTCAATATTTCTGAAGAAACTGTCAATGCCCTCTTGGAAGCCAGTGTCCCWCGTTCTGAGGTAAAAGATCAAAAAGGGTGATCAAAAATTAATGAGTCAACCTACAGCATGATGTACCAGCTGAAACAAAAGAAGTCACGTTGTTTGTGTGGCATCTTAYGTTTTCACTTTTTGCTTCCATATGGAATATTTTGTGAGTTTTAGGAATTTAAAATAATGTGATTCATTAAGAGATCAATTTATAATAGTACTATTCCTCTGCTCTAAAAGGCATTGCTTCATTACTTTTAGAAAYGTTTTACCCCCATGTGCTGGCACAGAATTGGAGCTTTGCGATCTTGGTACTGTAGAAAACATGAGGGCTTCTGGAGATACAATTTTTTTATCACCTCTGCTCCTTGCAGCATGGACGTGTCTCATGTATTTTTTTTGTTTAATTCCTTTGTGTGGTCCTCACTACTCTTATGTCATCTAACCACTATCTTTCTATACTTTCACTTTGAGTTGTTGACTCTTGAGTATTGTGAGTTTCCTGAGCGAAGGCCTATGTGTTACCATTTCTGTTTCACTGTATCCCAGTGATCAGTTGCTATCATGAGAAATGCCACCTGACTAACAGATTTCTCTCTCTGGTGAGTGTCTGTATGACTTGTAAAGAACTCAGGGCACATTTGATGTGCAAATGTGAACTGATCAGCTGAGCCAAGCAGCCACTGGGTGTCAGTGATGCTCCACTTGCAGAATCTGCAGCAAGATCTGTTTGAGACGTGCGGCATTAAAAAGGCATTTCAAACAATCATAACTACTTATAGATGATTTGTTCTGCTGCTTCTGTGGCAGTGTGACTGCCTTTATTTTTAGCTTGTTATTGTGATACTACTAAATGGTAATGAGAGAAGTCGTCTGAAAGCAATTCAGTTAAATGGGATTCAGTGCACCTTTGATCCTCTGGAATAACAGTGCTAATTGACTGAATTGTCAAATTACTTTCCATCCTTTCTTTTTGCCAGTAGTGTTTAGAGCTTAGGTATATACACAGGTTTCACATTTGAATAACTATACAAAATTTTTTGTTTGCTTAGTGCTTAAATCCTCCCTCAATCCAACTGGAGCATTAGMAAGCCTGTGTCTCTTACTGATTATGAAAACAGCACAAGTACTTTTTAGAGTTATATTTTAGGCATGCCCATTGTTGTTTATTGTCTATAAAGCCACTGTCTGATAACCCTAATAATAGCTGTAGGTCTACTGTAGCCCTATATTTCTATGATTGCATACTATTACTGGAATAGTAAGAGTGAGCCTGGGAATTTTTTGTACTTATTGTACTTACCCATAATTTCTGCCACAATGTTATGTGCTGGCCATGCTCATTTCCATGTGATGAAGTGATTTGAAATTGCTTAAAACCTGTAACCTGAAGAAATTAATTTATCTTAGAATTAATTTACTGAGTGTAGGAGCTTGGATTAGCTCTGGTACTCAKCTGCAAGGAAAGTTGACCACAGAGGAACTTAACCAAGGAGATAAAACACAGAATGGGTTAAAACTGCACATCACAGTCAAATTTCCTCACCAGCAAGAAGTCCAAATCAGTATCATCTTACACTGTCCCAAAATTATGTTCATACTCTGTTCCTTTAATGCACACAAAAAAGTGAGTATTTAAAAATACAAGAAATCRTTCAGAATCACAAAGACAAAATTCTGTTCCAGAATAAAAATCAAAAAGACAAATTATTAATTTGGAAAAGAAAATGTTTATAAGAATTGAAGAATTAAATTGCATATCCTGACTATCTTTCTGATCCTCTCCTTGGCTGGGTATTGTAATCAGAAAGAAATGCRTTCAGTGGAGACATGGAGATGGGTTCTGTCTTAAGCAGTAAAATGGAGCTCTGTACTTTGGCTCCTATAGGCTCCTACAAAGAATTGTAATTTTTCTGCACTTGTTGAGAATGAGTAGTTAAGAACACCTGAGCTATCAGGACTTCAAGCACTTGCCATTATCCAAKATGGCTTTATTATAATCTCCCCCAAGGACTGCTTAGGCATTTGTCCCTTCATCTGCTATTAAAYAATAATTCAAAGAAGAGTTTAAAAGAGAAATGTGAGCTGGCTCAGAGTGAACCTTGTGCCATATGTGCATCCCAAAGTATTAAATTTGTTTGTCCTTTGAAAGAAGGAAAGACCATATTGTTTGATTTTAGWGATTCATACACCTAGATTTTGATCTTAAGGTGTTTCTGCAGCAGAGGTGTGTATCTGCTAGAAGGAGTATGCTCGGCATTGTAAATTTGCCTGCTTATGGTATGAATGCTCATGAATGAATGATCCATCTGTGAAAAATGAAAGCAAATCCTTATAAAGAATGCACTTCATCTTTTTATATGTACATGGAGTATAAAGTAAAAACATACCAATTTGATATAAAGCTGTATGGTTTATTATTTCAGGTCTGTTGGTGCCTGCAAATTGTCATGTTACTGTGGCACAAAYGTTCCTTTATTATCTATAAAAAAAAGGTGATGCATTTCAGGGAGAAAATTTTTTAATACACATACATTGTGGTAGTTTTTTTACAGTGCCTTTGTGGTAGCTCTAACTGGAAGATGTGATGAAGAAGTACTTAGCCTGCTGCTAAAGCTACCTGAAAACAGTAAAACTTCACTGGTGGTGGAAGAATTATGTTCTTTACCAGCACTRGACTTGTATACCATGTTTGTGTTGATTATACAAAATTTGAATGTACGTCACATCATTTACAAGGTAAGATGTTTTCATTTGAAGGTTGTATGAAGCACATAGCAGGCAGATAAATAGTGCTATTGTTTCTTCAGATGTTCTTTCTCCATTAAAGCAGACAGTGGACATATGGCATTTTTTGTCTTAATTTAGTTCTACAAAATATTACAAAAGCAAGTTGAAGAATGAGGCTGATAGATGCTACTGCATTCCATTTCTTGCTTCCTCAGGAAAATTATCACGAGGAATTAATTATGAAAGTTTTCAAAAGCACAGGAGGTCAAAGACATAGTTTTATTAAACTTTAGCAGAGTTTGCAGTTCATGCAATTAGTCACTTCTTTATTTGTAAGTGTAGAAGACTGATCTGGCATAATTTGAACTAAAACCAGCAAGGGAGCTCACAACACAGAATGACGATTATTTTCTAGGAAGAATTCATAGTTGTGGATATAAATGTCCATAGAGCAACTGTATTATCTGTACAGTTGTAGATAATCTGGGATCTAGTACGGGTTTTCAGTGAGATAATKGTTTTATATACAAGAGCTGAATTGTTGGATGGGATAAAGGAAATTTATTTCATTTCTTTTGGGGGTAATTGATTGACAGAATATAAAATATAAGCTTGAATAGCTGAAATATAGTTATAACATTGTGAGGAAGAATAGTTTGTTCTAAAGCCATAGGGGCCTGGTTGTATTCTGGATGCTACACACTCAGTTAAACATAGAATTTTAAAAACAGGAAAGTTTCCCAGAGTAGGTAAAGATACCAGAGGGAAAAGAAAAGATTTTTAATTCCTGAATTATCTACAAAGCTAGAAAGAAAAAGAAAATAAAAGGAAAATAGTGCTTATTCTGATGGGTGTTTCTACTGAACCCTACTGAAACATAATCAAGTCCTAATGAAGAATCAAATAGTGTCAGCTTATCCTAAATTATGATGGAAGTTCTGCTACTTTTTTAGCTGAATAAGATTTTTTACAGGGGTCTTTAATTTTTTTTTTATTACATAAAAGCAGGTGAAGTCTGGGAAGAAAATTAAGCACAGACATTAAATAGTAGGAACGAAAACAAAGGTGGATAAAGACAATCAGATGAAGCAACTGAAAYTATATAATGAGATTATAGTGGTTTTATTATTTTGCTTAGGCAGGTAACAATGAATYAGTTTGTATTATGGTATCATCTAAATAATCCACAGAAGCAAAGGGAACAGAGAGAAAATCCATTATGACAAATTTGCGTGGTGGAAATAGCAAGCAGTCAATTGAACTTAGGTCAAGAAGGGAATCAAATGCACAAAATTATTTTGGGCATGAAAAATTCAAAGGCAGGAAGAGTGTGGCAGGAAATTCAGTTACTTTAGGGGTCGTATTAAGCATTAAAAGTGGTTGCTAGATTTAATTTGGCTTATAAATTATTTTTACTGTATGAAATTGTTGCATTGAACGTCTTTAACCTGGTGAAGGAAARGTTTCCATTTACACTGAATTCTAAGGGGACAGAATGTTGCAGATCCCATTAACATCTTGGGTTGGAGAGCTCTCTTCAGCTTGGCAGGTGTAAACATGTTCTCTGAATTTTAATTCATGATTTGTCATAAACCCCTCTAACATTACAGAGATATTATCTTCAGCTTAATTTGARAATAACTGGGGAGCTATATCAAAARGAGTTTTGTTAAAGATGGTTTATAGGAATGTTGTATAATCAGTTYTAGAAAAAGACTGAATTATTTTGAGTGTTTCATTGAAAGGTTAAAATTTGTTTCTAACTAGAATTTACTGTTGTGATTTTTTTCCTTTTCCAAGGTCCAGATACCACCTGAGATAGGCAATGTATTAAATATGCTACTGGATGTGGTTTCTAGTATCAGTTCACTTCTCAATAAAGTCCACCATGTCATGGAAAARCTTCCAGCATTCCTGCAAGGAATTCAAAACATTGGTGTGCTTGACATTTCCTTGTTGCAGCAGGTACGTGTAGGATTTCAATACCCAAAATTAATTTGCATTGTGGATATTTAAGTAGAGATATGTGCTTAGTAAGGAGRTACACTAATAGAAACAATTTCTCAGAAAGCTGGGAACTTTAGGGAAGAGTTCATAAACCCCAGGAAAATTCATTTGGTCTCTTTCAAGCAGTCTGGTAATTCTGAGACTATTGWTGTGTTGTTTCTGTCATCTTTTCATTGAGATCATTGCCTAAGTTACCTCAATGTTTGCCAACTAACGTTGACATCTATTGTCTGTGATTTGCAGATAGCTAGCTAGGCCTTTTCTGATAATAATGTATTTTTTTTTTAATTTATGAGCAAACTATGACTTTGTTTACAAAGAAATAGCTTTGCTCTTTTTAAAAGGATATTATTTCAAAACGATCTATGCAGTTCATGTATCTGCCATGTGTTTCTGTTCGTGTCACCTAAGGGGTTTGTGTGACAGTTCTGCTTGACATTAAAAAAAAAAAAAAAAGTGGCAGGAGGTGTGAGAGAGGGTATTTTTTTTTGTCCTTGCCTTTTAGGAGCAGTTGCTGTATGCAACTATATGCTCATTTATATAGCTACCACAGTGTTGGATCTAGTGCTAAATGAATCATCAAAAAAGATTCCTGTTTCTAAGCAGGTTCTAATTACATAGGAAGACCTGCTGACCCCCATGGCATTGTCTTCTGGGCTTGCTGGTCTTAGTGGAAACTTGAGGATTGAATCTGGTTTAAATTTGCAAACTTCTAAAGGATCTTGCAGAGGTAAAAGGTGCAATCTGCTAGAATGTTATTGCTATAGGACAGAGTAAACACTGCCTTAAGTACTATTGTCTTTAGTGATATAATTTTCAAGCTCTTCTAATCTGTGTGATAGAGATATGTTGAAAAATGCTGTTCTGGTGCATATATTAGTTTTGGTTTTGAGCCTCTCTTTTTTGGGGTAACTCTATGACTGCTGCAATGAATGGTGCCTTTCATCGGATACTTATATCTATTATGCTTTCTTTAAACTAGTCTGTGTCAAATATCCTTCCAACGACTGAAATATTCTTTAARGACTGAAATCCCAAAGTTCTTTATTTGATAGAAGAATCTCTCAAAAGGTGCAGTTAAAAAGAAAGTTTGCAATGGAACAAATGGAACAGCAGAGGGCCATCTTCTCACAGTTTTAAGCTTTGCTCCATGGCCACCCCTATTATTCTGTACTACACCATGGATTTAACCTTGGAAATTTTGTTCTTTTTCAGTTGTAACCTTTTTTGATAACTTTTTTCGACACAATTTGTATTTTCTAATGTTTTAATAATTCCCTTYTTCTTATGGAATTGCTGGGTTTTTTCTTTTGTCACCTAGTAATTTGTGGAGGATTAAAATAAGCAGTACCTATTTCTTCTGTTAATAAATTAAATTTTTGATTTCAAGGGCTCTTCTATCTCTGTATTTTTTTTTTTAAGACTAGTAAAAGTATACTTGTCCTTTTCTTCGTGTTTTACTCAATTTTTTATACTTTCCAATAACAGTTTTTATTATTGATAAGTTTTTACTTCTTTACTGTGGTGGACAAACTTGTGCTACTGAGTAACTGCTCCACTAAAGTGCAGATATTGCTTCTACACCTCCCTTCTTAAATGTTTTCTTCTATTTCTGAAAGAGTCCATCCTTCTGGATTTTTGTTTTCATGAAGCCAAGAACAAAGTAGTTCAGTGACACAGAAAGATTATCAGATAAAGAATGTAAATGTTTTTAAGGTAAAAATATGTGGACCTTTATCAGAAAGGTATTGTCAATTTTGAAGTTGATTTTAAAAAAATCTATAATGAAAGAAGTAATAGAGTGATTGTCAACTATGCACATGGGTTTCTCTCTCAAAGAAAAAATGAAAAGGAACAAACAACKTTAATATATCTGTAAAATATGAAGTTGAATGGAGAAGATACACATATTGTAATAAAAGACAATGTAAAACCTCAATATCTACCTGTCAATAGGAAGTGGACTATGGTRCCACATTCTACTGTTAAAAACATTAAGTGAATGGATAACTCCCTGAGGRAAAACAATGCTGATTTCAATCATGATTTTTTGCTGTTTGAAATTGTATTTCCATACATATTTTCTGAATGCTTGTCACTCATCAGTGGATAAACTGCAGGGAACTTCCTGAGTTGCTGAATACTGTTAATTGTGAGAGGTGGCCTCACTGTTATCCTTCCACTAACTTGAACAAATTCTCTGCTAAATTCGTCATTGCAAACAGTCTGTTGGGGTTATAAGTGTATAAAATTCTGACTTAGGTTTATTTGTGGCTAGTACGTTTATTCTTATACCAAAAACATTCTGTAGCATTTTTAACGTCTCTGCCTTGCCCATATGTTTGTGAAAGGCCAGTTGCAGTCYGTCTCTGTTTTGATAGGTTGAATAGAGTTATTTTAGTGTTTGTTTTTTTGCTTTAGTTTCTTCTTTCATAACAGGCTCTCAGTTACCTAAGACAACCTAGCATCATTTTTGCATGCTGGGTTAAGGCTAATCCTGAATGTTTGGAAGAAGAAATGCTTGCAGTTTTTGAGGGGAATTATGACTGATGACTCTTGTARCCCTTTCATTATTGTCTATACCTACTAAAATGGCTTTCCTAAACTTGTATTCAACTTTTTCATAAACTGCACACATTTTTGTTTCTCACATAATCAAGGATGAGTGATATACTCAGGTGAGCTCCATTTTATAACATCATCTATTTTTTTCAGTTGATAAATAACATTTTGCACTGCTTATCTTTCTATTCAATTTGCTTTGAATTAGGTAATTGGTTTATTGCCATGTTGCATTCTGATCTTCTTTTCTCCTGCAATGCCTTCTGGTATTAAATGATAGGCAAATTTAGACAATTTGTTTCTTTCAGGCTCATAGGAATAACACTAATAGCTTGTCTGTAATCCAGTGCTTTCTTTCCACTTAACCAGCTCCCTGCAGTATCCTCTTAGTGCCATTTTTCACCCACCAGTATTAATCACCTACTGGATAAATGCTGATTAATATTTTMCAGAAGACAAACATTAATTGATTGTTAGGGTTCACCAAAATTTGAGACAGTATGTATATATATATCTTTTTTTGGGGAAAAAGGGATTACCCTCCCACAGAAATATGTTCTGTGGGTCAGGAATGATAATTTGAGAATGCATTAAATTTTACTTCTCAAATATTTTTTTGTCTTTAATGTTCTCCACTTTAAAAATTATTTTACTTTTTGCCCTATTAAACATCAGARTCAGGTATCCATTATTTCCTGGATCATGATGCTACTCGATCTTGAACATATATGATTTTTCTAATTTTCAAATAGTGCCATCTAAATTTGATAGGCTTCTGAAAAACGGTTTAGTCAAATCAGCAATTTTGYTATTTTTCCCCTGATTCTGTCAATTTTAGGACAACACAAACTTTGTTCTGTTTATATTTTTCTCAGAATTAGGAGTATCTATTTCTCTGAATTTGCTTCCTTTAGTCCTTTTGTTCCATCAAATTTTGAATTATCTTCAACTGCCTTGTAGTTTTYCAGGAAAATTGCATTATTTTTTATCTCTCCTTTTCTCTAATGTAATGTTTCTGAATGTAGTTCAATTTTCTGTGCAAGTTGTAGCCCAGTACAACTTTGAAGTTTCTTTTGTTGAGTAGCTGGTATTTCTATTCCAYATGAAGTTGTTTTTATTGATAATATTCTTTTCGGCATACAGCTGTTCAGTTAGGTCAGAAGCTCCTATGCTGTGAGGTTTTGGCCTTCATTTGAAAATCTAGTTCCCGATAACATTTTACTCTTCCATACTAGAGTTCCTCTCCATGAATTTGTTACAGTGACTTGCTTGATTGATTACTTTGTTTGCAGGAGKCTGGTTGTTTGGATTCATCAGTCTTGATTACAGCCCTCCTTTATATAGTTTAAACTAGAACAACTAGGATCAAAGATAACTTTTTCATTTGTGGCATCCATCCTATATATTTCTCACACTTTATCAAAGCCAAATTTTGAGAAACATATCTTTTTGAGTCAGTAGATATTTAGTTGAAAGACAGTAAGTAGATTCAGCCTGTTAGTGGCAGCTTACCACATAAATATTCATTATTTGAATTTCAAGTTATTTTGATTGGAACTGGAATTAATTAGCAAGTTTGTGCTCTTTGACTGAAATAAGCCTCATTTATCCTTCTAGTGCAAATAGTCACTAATAAAGATTCATAACCAATTTTATCCAGCATTGTGCATAAATAAAGTTTATTTCTCCAGTGAAGTCCATGCTAGCAGATTCATTCAAGGGTTGTAGATGATTCTATTATGAATTATGGGTATTATTTATTTACTATGCTCTGTRCTGAAACTGTATTCCAAAAGTAAGTTTTTGGGAGCAGCTAACTCAGAATTTTAAATGACTCTTACTAATATTCCCCCTGGATTACTAAAGAAGCACCTGGCACTTCAGTAAATGCATTGATCAGGATAAACTGTTTCTAACAGCACAATTTCTAAACTGTCTGTGATTATGTCTTTATGTAAAGTGCTGTACTACTTTGAAAATTGACTCTTCTGTTTAAAAAAAWTCAGACTATAAAATGCTATTTTTTTCTGCTCAGAATGTATGTGTTTGACATATCACAGTGGTTTTTCTATTTGCCAGTAGTCTTGAAATGATGTCTGATAGTCTACTTATGCCTTTCTTGACAAGCATCTGCAGTAGTAATGAGTATCAGGCGAGCCAGGGCACCCTTCAGTTGTACCACATCAACTGGATCCCTTGCAGTTGTGTCCTCTTAGAGCTGTGCACCTGTACAGCTTCTGTGAGACATCACTTACAATCGAGGACATTATTTGAAAAGTGGAACTGCACAGAGGATGAGACTATTGTTGTTCTTCTTTCTTTTTTTGAATGTGGTGATTGATGGTGCTTAATCCATGAAAGTAGTCAGATTGCTCTCTCTCCTCATTAGAAATATGCTAGTCCTGAGCAAATGGCAATAATAAATGCTGGTATGACTCAAGATGTGCACAAACTATAAGCACATTTAACAAGTTAAAAGATGTGCTTGGAAATTTGGTTTTTAGGGCACTTGTATGCAATTTTCTTTTCCTTATTAGCAACTGTTTTCACAGCAAACATTCAAAGCAAAATGGTTTTGGTTATTTCCACTGCCTTTGTGACACAGGAATAATCTACCAGAAGATCACACTTTATGAAAGCTGTCATTGGACTCAGGGTACTGTAGTGCAGCTGTCTTGATGTTTTCATCCCTTTTCTGCCTAACWGCTACATCACATTTTTCAAAGTTCAAGGTAGTATGTTATACTACTCCCTTTTACTGTATAATACTCTCTTTCACTGAGTATTCTGACAATTAAACTGYATTACCTTTCCTCATAATAATGGTGATCAGAAAAAGAGAAATGAGCACAGCGGGCCCTCATCCTTACAGCCTTACAGGCTGTTTCAACAGCCTAATTTTGTCCATCTCCTTAGACGTCAATATTGACAGAACACCAGGGCTACTCCCTGAAGCTACTTAAAGCAACTTYGATTCATCTGTATTTTTGTTCATTTGTTCTAGTTTTTGCAAGGTGGGCAGTTCAGAAGTTCAGCTGTTGGATCCCTGGAGTCCGTAATCAAGGCAGTGTGTAAAGAAGAATCTTCATTTTTCAGCAATGCAAACCTGTTCGTAGACATGCCCAGAATCATGGGACTTTTGGAGGACAATATGGCAAAATATGGCATTCCTGAAGACTCGAGTAAGAAAAAAATCAATCACAAGTTGCAGTATGCATTTGGAATTAAGAGAGGTTTTTTCCACTTAAATGGAAACATTTATATACCCACTGACATCTTAGTTGACACTGTCATCTTGAGCACAAGATGTCGATCAATAAAAGTCTAGTGGCTAAGAGATAATTATGGGTGAGACAGAAATGATTCTGGTTTTTTTTGAGTTTTTGCAAATAGTAAATACGAGCATTCTTGTCTTTGAGACATTTTTATTAACATTTTCACAGCACTTGGTATTAAAAACATATCCTTGAGGTACAAGATTGAGAATGTGTTGCTTCTTACCTTTCTTCTGTGGACACAAAGCTGTGATATTATGGACAGTAAAATATGCAAACCTTCTGTATAGAATGAGTTTTTAAATGGTTGATATTCCTATATCAACCATTTGTCAAGTGCTCAGAACAATCCCTTAGCTCTCATATAGTTTCACCTTTGCTCCCTTTCCTCAATACACATTTGACTTACCCTGATTAATTTTAATATTGTTAATAACCTTGTTAGTGCCTCAGGTGGCCCTGTACAAGAGAATACAGTGATAGARTGTCCCTAGGGAAGCCTCTGTCATCTGTTGGTTTCTACAGCCAGAAACTGCTCCTGGCTTGGCTGGGACCCTTGGGAGGGAGCCAGAGCTCTGCCTTGGCCTTCTTGCTTCTATGTGTGGGATGTAGTGGTAAGGAGGCAGCTCTGCTTCTCTTTCCTGTTGGAAGAATGAAGTCAGCAGGATGGCTGATGAGAAATTGTATGGAACTTGGTCTCTTTGAAAGCTGTTTAGGCCAGAAGCACTGTTTCTTAATTTTTTTTTTTTTTTAATAGTCACAACTCTTGTATGCTGTGAGACCTTTTACCATAGGACTCTGAAATATTTAAGGTAGTCCCAACATTGCCATGAGTGAATTAATACTGTTGCCCATTTTTACAAATTTGTATGTGGGGCAATGGAAAATGAAAATTAAAAAAAAGAATTGAGGCCACAGAAACTTGATTCCTACCCCATTTTCAGTGATTAACCTGTATGTATTTTGGGTATTTCAAACACTTTCTAATGATATTCTGAAGATCACAGCAAACACAGATTAACAAATCTTCTGTGTCCTTAGCCTATTGACATTTCTGACTGGCTAACCTGTAGCCTCTTAATTCTTTGCTACTGTTTAGCAATGATTGTGTTTAGTAATGATTGTTTCATTAAAGAAAATAAAAATTTAGGCAAAGAACATTTCTGATACTATTTTCCTTAACATTTTTCAGGAGTTTAAAGCTTTTTGGCCTAGTTTTCCATTATGTAGAAAGATTTTTCTTCCTTGAGGAGTTAATGACATTAACTAGCTAATATTTCTTTGCAGCACTAGGAATGAGATATCTTGAAACCACTTGTAATTAATAATAAACCCCCCCAAAATATGAGTTGGGCATAAAAGTCTAAATGTTTCTCATAGGAAAATAGTTGCCTTTAGATGAGTACAAATGCAGTGGGATGTCTTGGAACTATTCGTTATATCCTACTTCTGCAGGACATGTACCTTCATGTATTAATAGTCCCATGTGATGTAGGAATTTTTTTTATTAAGGAATGAAAAAGACAATTTGTTAGATTTTTCAAATCAAGAAGTGTCTTCACAATTTTWTGCCTTTCTTTTTGGTAGGTTCTTTTAAGACTATACAAAAGTCTGTATTTGTGAAGGGTTTTGCATATTCCTATTTCCTTCTTATACAGGAATCTAGAGCTGTAAAACAATGGAAAGTGTGGAAGATTTGTTTGTTTTTTAAGGTGACTCTTCCCTCTGAATTCATTTTTGTGGCAGAGATTTTGCATATGTGCTTCTGCTATAAAATGTACCAATGTAACTTTTAGGGTAGATGGGATTCCCAGGCTGCTTTTCAAAAATGTGAGGAGCTCTTTGGATTCTGATTTTTTGTTTTCCTATTCAGTGCTTGAAGCTCTGCATCTTCAACATGCTCATAAACTGTGGTTAAACAATTTCTATAGGGGCCTGAATTGATTGCTTAGTGCTGGTTGGGTGGTATTGTTACCAAAACACTGCTAACTGTAATTGGCATGGTGCTGTGGTAGACTCTGAAGTAAAACTCAAGCTTTTTCCTGATTAAAAAGAAATCCAATCTTGCATGTGTTGTACATCTTAAATTTGAGTCTGTCTTTGTTTTTGCAGCTCCTTTTTGCTTGAAACTTTATCAGGAGATTTTGCAGGCTCCTAATGGGGCTTTGCTGTGGACTTTCCTGAAACCTTTATTACATGGGAAGATACTGTACAATTCAAACATCAACATGATTGACCTGGTGATGGAGAAGGTGAGTATCAAACAGCCACACTATTTCTGTGTATTGATTTTGTCTTTGTACTTCGTTTTTGAGGCACACTTCTTTCAGGGTTGGCAGAAGCAATTGGATAATTGCCTTTCAGAAAAATAGATCCAGCCTGCCCCCTGAGGTCTTACCTGTTTCCCACTTTAAATTTCGCAGTTCTCTTAACTTTTATCCTAGTTGTTACAGTGCTTCCAACTCAGCGTGAAAAGTTAGATTTTGCTCAAAGTCCTTTAAACCATGTACAGAGAGATTAAAAAGAACATGTTAGGAGTAGTGTCATGTGATTCATGCTGATTTGAGGTGAAGGGTACATGTATTTTAGGTAAGCTTTTGCCTTCAACATGTTTGTATGATGGGAACACAGAGAGACCTGTGAGAAGGGATGCCCCAGGGAAAAAATCCCTGTTCTTAGGGTCACTGATCTGAATTTAAAGAAAAAAAGAATGAAGAAATCTACAGTCCATCCTTCCTGATTGTTTCTAACACCAGTAGATGAGTGACCAGTCATGACTGAGGTGTTGTTTATGTGCATGATGATGATGGTATTCAAGGGTTTTGCTTCTACTGTTGTTGGTGTTCTTTTCTGAGTGAGATTATTGACAATGACATTTTTCTTCATACCTAGCTTAGAGGCACTTCTGTAAGAGAAGGGTTGGTGACTTAGGTAACTAYTAGAGTTCTAATAGTGCAAATTTTGCATTGAATTTCTAAATATATTACTTTTACCCTGCACTAATAATTATTGCAAGAATGACAATTTGGATTAGAATCTGGAAAAAAAAATAAATCCTGCTTGCAAGTGGAACACAATAAGATCCTAGTAGCTTCAAATATGATGCTAACTATATTCTCTGCAAATGGAGAAATTTGTGGTATTGTGACTTGTGCTCTAAACAAGATAGTTGAGAACAAAGACAAAAAGCCAATTCTAGACAGCAGATACTAGATAACTTTTTAGTTTCTGTTCTTAATTGGAAAAAAAAGATTGAGTGATTTAATATTTTGCAGTTAAATAACTTAATTYGGGGAACAGCTTGTCTCGCCAGAGTTCAGTATAATTAACTAAAATTTTTTATTCAGTTAGAAATGAAGCTGCTCTTGATGTTTTTAGATGGAAATTCTATAAAGAATGAGTTGTAAGAAATGATAAATATTACATATAATTTTGAAATTCTATGTTACAATGACATTAGGAATATAGCACTTAAAACATTTCCACATTATTTTGCAAATTAATATGTCAAACCTCCATTCTTAAAAGTATCTATAAAGAAAGTTTCTATAAMGAAAGATAGCTATCTTCACATACAGTATGTTCCCCCATAAACCTTTCAGTGGAATCTGGACTGAATAGTGTGGTTCAGAAAGAAGTTTGCTTGGGGGTTGGTTTTTTGGGTTTGTTGGTTGATTGGAGGTGGGATTTAATGCTCTAGACCAATACAAAGATTCGGGTAGATGCCCCCAGCACAGGCTCTTATTCTTGTTCCATGTTCTCAGGCTACAAAAGTTCCTTCAGCTTATTCAGCAATCTGTGTAAATACACTTTTGCCTCTTTCCCCAATCCTGTAAATCTAATAAGTAGTTATGAATTGGTATCTGTTGGTATTGTGCAACTGTGAAAGTAGTGGGAAATTTCCTCCTTTGATTTTATTACAGAAATCTGTCAGCTTTTGCTTTAACAGAAACAAAATTTAAGTGCAAAATATTGCCCCTGACATCTCAAATATCAGTAGCTACTAAACCCTAACCCTGCAGCTTTTACAAGCCTAATCTGCTAGGGAAATTGTAACAGTTCTCATTTCCTTTAGACTCTATGGCCATATGCCATCTATGTYCTAAAAGAAAAAAGTAGAGGATTACAGATTTGAAGAAAACTGATATTTCTATACTCTGCCATATTCTCTAAGTATTCCACATGGACTATTTTGTTTTGAGACAGTGTAATTGACCACTCTTCAATAAATTGTGAGGTTGCTGGGTTTTGGTTTCAGAGACATTAACAGTTCTACTGAGTAGATTAATGGTGACAGTTGCAGTGACAGGCTATGGTGTTGCCTGATGGTAAAAGAGCTCATTGTCAACTGGCATCCAGGAGTTCAAAGGCCACGTGTTATGTTTTGACCTTTGCTTTCACAACTAACTTTTTTGCCACTGATACATTTATCTTATGAAAGTATTTTTTCTRTTTCAGAAGATTGTCATATTCAGGTAATCACATTAGAAGAATTTTCTGATATTTTCAAAAACTTTGGGGTTGGGCTTGGCAGGACTCTGGCAATATTTTGTCCACTTGCTTTCTGGGTTATATGAATTCCTAGTATTTATTATGCCTGTGGTGAGTTTTACATCAACCACTTCTTCCTCCTTAGTTTGTTCTTCCACTTTCAAACAGCAGCACCTTCTGTTTTATAATTCTGTGTTTTTATCTCTTAGCTGTATTTAATTATATTCTATATTTACTACTATTCTTTATTGTAATTCATTATTAGAATAAAAAAAATAAAGCTTATTTAGAGTCCAGAATTATTAGTCTACAACCCTCTGGTTCCCCTAACATCTTTATAAATAGCTTTGCGTTTTTTATTTTCCACTTCCCTCATAACAAGGGAATTTTAATAAGAAAGTTACACTATAGTGAGTAGTTCAGCTATTTAATCCTCAAGTGCTTTTGAAATTCTTGGCTGGACATTATCTTTTCCTGGAAACTCTTTATTGTTAATTTTTTAAGTTGTATGACTTTCTTACTTATTCTTCGATTAGAGAAAGATTCTTCAAAGAGTTTTGCGTGTGGAAGGCTTCTCACACAGGAACTTCCCCAATGCCTACTGTCATKAATGATAAAGCAAAAACACTTTTAAACTCTAACTCCCCCTTTTGTTTTTCTCTCCTAGGTTTTTTTTTTTTTGTGTGTGTTTTTTTTTTCCCATCTTATTTGGAGGTAACCCTCCTTTGTAAGGAAGTTTTCCGGTGGCTTCCTGCATTGCACTCTGTGTGTGTGTGTATATATATGTGGTCTTCCTCAAATTTCTTTTTAAYAGGCAGTAGATATTTGTTCAGTTTCCTCTATGCTGCCTTAGACTCTGTGCCTTCTGCACACAACTTACCACTTTGCTGCTTTTAATTTCTTTCAGATAAGTGCCTATATTATAGAAAGTTCATCTTTTCCAAAAATCCATGCTGCTGCAGTAATTTGGGGTTTTTATTTTTTGTATAAGAAAGTTGAATACAAGCACATTATAGTAGCTCTTTGAARGCAGTTTCAGCACAAAAATTATTCCTTTGTGCTGTTTAGAGTCAAGTCAAGAAGCACAAAGCTCTACTGAGCCCAAAACTTACCAGGTGCTCGATATGATAGTTTCTAGTAGTGTCTGAAAGATCGATCTCCTTGTGTTCTGGTGACCTGTGCTTGCTCTGTCCTGGAGAGAGACCGATCTCCCAGACCAGCTGTTTGTCACCTTTGCAGCTTTCCTGGTCTCCTTCATCTTGTCACCACCATGCCTGGTCTGGGGTTTCAATCCATGAGGTTTCTGCATTTCTTCTGATCAGAACTTGTTTTGTCTGCACAACAGCAGATTTGGTTTAACATTTAGGATCACTTTCTCTTTAATAGTAATGAATGATCACTCTTTGAAATGGAATAGGAATTCTCATAGAAGTTAAATGTCTAATGCTTTTTAGGGAAACAAAATTACATGAAAGGTCTCTTTGGAGCCCTCTGTGTTAGAAAGTGGAAGAAAAAACCACACAAATTGTTTTCACATGCTGTGCTAAGAGTGGGATTTTGAAAAAGGCACTTAAAATACTATGGYAGAAATTGTATACTTTCAATAGGAATTATTGCAAAAAGTGTAGTCCCAAATTGGAGTTTACAACTCACTGCAGACACTCTTTGCTGGAAAATATGACAATTTTTACCATAACAACAGTGCTGGATTGTTCTTAAATGCACTTTTGTGACTGATAACACCAATTGAAACAAAAAGATCCTGCAATATTTTCTATTCTTGAGTATACTTGTGAACTGTTTAAAACAGGGTGGAAAAAAGAATTGCTGGTTGTTTACTAAGAGAGAAATTGTTACCTATGTTTTAGTGGGGAGGCAATTTTGCTTTATTCAAGTCTTYCCCTGAGAGAGTATTTTGAAACAGATTGATTGATCAGTTGAATTTATTGTCWAAACTGTGCTTCCAAATTTCATTTTTATTATGTATTCAGTTGATGTAGTTTGAACAAAAGACCCACAAATGCAAAGACTTTTTTTTAATATGTCCTAACTGTATTTCTTCTTCCGTATTTCTGAAGTACACCCATGATACTCTGTATGAAAGAGACAYTATAAAATAAAGAAATCTTTATGGTACTTCAGGCGGGAAACATACGGAAAACAGGAAAACTTTGATTTGCTTGGTATCAAAAAAACCCTTTYAATTTCTTAAATTAAAGAAAGAAAACATGGATTTTTTTACTGCTGGCTATTAAAATGAAATGGAAAGGAGTTGCAGAAGATGTAAAGCATAAMGGTTTTCCTGTTTCTTAAGATTTACTGTGCTCAATTTTCACTTCACTTGTTTCCATGTGTTTTTTTTCCCAGGCTAATTTCACTTTTGGTTTTGTGGAAAACTTGAAGACTTATTCTGAGACATGGCTTAGGATGTCTGAGGTTTTCAAAACCAGTGGAAATGTTCTCACAGTCTCCCGACTGCAGGTTGGTGAACTGTGGGAGATCTTTCTATTTTCCAACTTTTTGCTGCATGATCCAGACGGTATTTCTATACATGTAAAACCACTCATGTATCTGACTTTAGTTTTAAAAAAGAGCTGAAAAAGAGGAAGGTTAGATTTAGCTTATGAACCTGCAGCCTGATGCTGTGAAACTTCTGCCATGAAAATACTTAAACGCAATGTTACCTCACTATCCCCATTGTCACTCTGGAATCCCTGATCAAGAGGRGAAATAAAATGGTTTTGGAACTTGTTTGTTCATTGCTTATGTTTGCCAGCAAAATGTGAAACTGATGAGAAAAACTGATGAGGGAAATATTGACTATAAAAGAAAAAAGATTCTTGTTACTGAGGTTTTTCTATTCTATATATTTGTGTCTTCCCCTGCCACCTCTCCTAAATCCCTTCACCATCCCCCTGCCATTTCTTTGAAATGCGTGGCATCAACCTGTTAAGAGGGGAAGACTGAAGACATGGAAAGGCTAAATGATTTCTCCAGTGTTATGCAGGAGATCTTGATAATGCAATTGAACACTAACGCATATGTATATTTTGTATTTCCTTAGAGAAGATAAACCTGATGTAACATCTATCATTTATCATTTTAGGAAGCACTGCAGMACAATTTCATAAAGCATTTCATAGAAAGTAATTTGGATATCAACATGGAAAAACTCCTTAAAAAAATGCAAGCATATGGTACGTACATAAAAGTACATGTAATGATTGGCCTTGTTAGACTTGTACTTCAACTTAGAACCACATTTAGTTGAAATTGAGTGTTTTACCTACTTCATGATACTTAAGTAAAGTAATAAGAGACTTTACACTCTTGAGTTTCTCTCAAAGGTTTTTAATTTTTTCTTTTGAGTGACTAGATAATTTGAATTTCAAATATTGAAACAATATTGGTAATGAATCAGAAGTGMCAAAGTCATAGCAGAGACACAAACTTTAGATCTGTATTTAAAAGGAGGGAAAGAAGATGTAAACCCAGTAGCTGTTAGATGGAAGTTCCATTAGGTTGAAGTATATTTTTGTAGTAAATGATGAAGGAAATAAATAGAAAATGAGATTGGATACAGTGTGTTTGATCAAAAACTCCCTGTATTTTTTTTTTCTGTTTATTGAGAATCAGTTGTGTGGTGTGCCCTTCAGCCTCAGAAAAGCCTGAGAGAGGGTTATAATTGTCAATAGGAAGCAACCAGGGCCAGTCCCAGCTCTGGAATAACCCAGTGGGGCCATGGGGATGATGCKGAGGGCAGAACATCACCCTCTGGGAAGCAGTGTGGGTGCAGGTCCATGATCAGATCCACAACCAGGTGTGACGTGGGGGGGATGGAGTGGCCCTGATTAATTTGTCTGCAGGGGGCTGCCAGCAGCCTCCCCTTGGGGCACAGCCATCCCTGGATGCCCTCTTYCTGCATTGGTACTGAGCCCTGGCAGTCAAATAGAGAGCCTCCAGGGTAAGGTGGATAGCCCAAAGGGAATGGTTCTTGATGGAGGAGAAGGGGAATTCTTATTTGGTATAATATGGGATATTCAAGAATTTAAGTAGGAGAATAGAAAGGATTATGCTGTAAATTTAAGTTACTTAATGACTTTATAAGAATTTAATAATTGGAAAAAAATTCACTGTGTCCTGGTGTCAGTATGGCAGATGCATTATCTGTAGAATGTTTGCCAGCATGTGCCAGAAGGAAAAGTCCATACTAAAGCAGAGTCCAATGTCATTTAAGAAAATTTAATGATTTTGAGGAACAGAGAGAGAAAAGTGAGATAAAATGCAATAACACACAGTGTGACACTATGGACAAAGGGAGCAAGGTACTTCCAAGAGGAGGATTGTGGTAGAAAGGACAGATCTGTGTGGTTTCTGATCTGTGAGTGTTAAGGTAACTATGAGCAGGCACAAATCTGTTCCAGTCACTTTCTGGAGGAGGGCAGTGATGAGCTCTCAGGTACCCCCACAGAGGGATTTTGTAATTCTCATTGCTTTGAAAAAATGGATTTTATAGAAATGTAAGTTATTAAGTCTGATTTACAGTCAAATGATTGAGACTATAGCTAAAGTAAATAAATGTACCTGAAGTACAGCTTTTATTGGTTTTTCGTATCTGCCTCTAAGCAGGAGATGGACAAAATCCATGGAGGCTCCTGAGAACTTGTAAATTAATTGTGTTCTCACTCTTAAATTGTACTACTGCCCTGAGCTGATGCAGTCATGGTTGATGTGACCTGGTGTGGCTTTTCTTTTGCAGACRGGTTGTGAGATTTAATTGAAATGGGCCTTGGTTTGAAGGCTCTCTTTGAMGATATGGAATGGCTAGTGCACACTTTCACTAAGAAAAATGGCAAACGATGTCTGGACTTCACACTGGAAAAAAATCTGTGTCCTCCTTAGGCAAGGGACTCAAATTTGAATCTCTTTTCTCCACGGATAATTTTCTTAACCAGTGAGCTGCTGGCTAGTCTGGGTTAGGCACAGTTCACRCATCAAGGTGAAGATGGGTCATAATACAGCTAAAAAGCAATTCCTTAGAATCACAATATTGGAAAGATAAGATGGAGGAAAGAGCAAGTCTGTTAAATTTCAGGGCCTGCTGGAAATGTAGCTATCACAATCTATTAGTTGAGTAATAGCTGGATTTTGCTTGTGTTGACCTAACACTGCGAACTACATGAGAGGTTACAGGCAAACAATATTCCATTAAATATATATTATGATCTTGGGAGATATCAGATCCTTCTTTATTGACACAGACAACAACACTGAAATCTGTACCTGTGTTTCTCAAATGATAGCTTTTGAACAGAACTAAGGATATTTGATGACATGTAATAAATAGTTAATAGTTTGGATGGTCAAGGCAGAATATGATTTAAGTAGAATGGCTTATGAAATTAGAATTTCCTTATTTTAAGTTGATAGAATTGATATGGTATAAAAAACTGAAAATCAATATGGGCTATAATCACAAGAACATTTATGCTTTTATGAAACCAATCTCTCCAAAGTACCAGAGCACTCCTCTGCATTTACACATTGATTACACTTTGTATAGATTCACTTGGCCCCTTTATTTCTTGATAAATGACATGCACTCCCATTTTTATCTTTTTTTTTTTTTGTTCATTTTATTAGTCCATAATCATGTGTAACTTAACTCTAAACCTCACTTGCTTTCTTTTTTTTAAAGATTTCATTAATCTTGTATTGCATCAGCTGTTTAGTCCTGTAATTATCTTGCTTGCATCCAATCCTTGAATAYATCCACATATATTACTAGTTTCACCACTCACAATCTTTTGTATTTTAATCTAAACTTCCAGCTTTCTAAAATCTCCTGATCTCTGTGATCATGTATTCTAACTAAAGCAAATATTCCCTTTATCATATCTATACTCTCATTCAGTGGACTTCTAATTATCCTCAAATACARGATGCTTGTGTTCGTATCCTTTTGTTATTTCTCTACAATGCTATAAAAATGTTAACAGACTTAGTGWCATTATTCTCCCTGCTTCCCCTACTGTAAAGTGTCATGGACAGAGTGGATAGATGTAGAACTCTTCAAATGTCTCTATAAAATCATTGTGCTGCAAAACCTCAGAAAATTAGCAATTTGTAAAACTGTTTAACAGGGTTACTGTGTCAGATTTACTCATGTGGAACAAGGTAAATGTTTAGTTGAGGGCTGAAAACTTGTGGTTTTCTTTTTAAGTCCTTTGCTTTCTAAGCTGGGTGTGTATGGGCAAGACAATTGCTTTCCCCTATGCTTGCTTTGCAGCCCAGCAACTTGCAATAATTTCCTACCGATTTTGCATAAACCCTGCCCCACTAGAACTTGTGAGCTCCTTCCTGTGTCCTTTCAGTTTGTACAGTACTTGCAAACCTTCAGGAAGCACTGAGAGGCAATTGTGCTGTAGGTTCCTCWTTAAATTCTTGCTGGCTGAGTCTCTCCTGCCCTTCTGTGATTTCTCCCAGAGGTGAAGTTTGTTTTCATTGTCRAGGACTCTCCCTTACAAAGGGCTAYATGTGACTCAATAAGTAACAGCCAGGGTGATAAAAAGAAACTCCACAAAACAAAACAAGCAGCTTTCCTTTGTGCTACTCCTCTGCTGCCGTGGTTGTAATGAAATAGTTTTGTGTGTATTTGGCAGGCAGGAAAAAAAATAGCTGTAATGTTATCACTGAAAACTGTGCCACCACCCAAATCTTCTGATGACTATAAACTTTTTTTCTAATTTCTCACCCAAATTTATTTATTCCTTATTTATTCTAATTTATTCTTCCAGCAACTTTTTATTTTTACTTAAATAGTACTTCTACTCAATGGTTTTACACAAGCCATTTATATTTACTCCCAATTACTTAATGGTAGGTTAAACAAGCTGAGTGGATGATGAAGGCAGGCTTGATTTTTAACAAAATATGAAGAYAATAGTGGACACAGATTTTCTGACTTTTACGTTCATAATTGCTACATTTATAAATGGAAAAAAACCAAGGTCATCAACTCTATAGCTCTTGATTTTGAAACTTCATGTAGATTGAATTTTTTCATACATGTGCTCTTTCTATGATGGGGTACAGGAGTTCAGGCACATTGTGAAAGACAATATTTTCTTCCAGAAATATTTAGGTATGCCACACTCCAAGCCAACAGCAATGTAGATGTTATTTCTTATGCTAAAATTTTCAAGAGTTTAACTCATGACAGAAGCTATTTTTAGTTAGCTATTGATTTAAAATTAAGGTCTTGTGTGTGTATGTGTTGCTGAATGATAGGATACTTTCAGTGGGAGTGGACCTTAAGGATCTGGATCCAACCCCTGTGCTGCACCAGGTTGCTCAGAGATGCATCCAGCCTGATTGAATACCATTCCCTCTTGTCCTATACCTACACTTACTTGCACAAAGTCCCTCCCCAGCTTTTTTGAAGGCCCCCTTCAGTAACAGGAAGGCCACAATAAAATCTGGAAGGTGCTGTAATTTCTGTCTGGAGCCTTCTCCACGTCAAACCCCAACAGTCTCAGTCTGTCTTCATAAGAAGAATGTATATATGGCTATGTATCATTACATAAATATATAAAAAATATGTATGAAAACTTAGCCTTCCCACTTGGGCTTAATGCTAGGAATATTCTGTTCTCTCTAATGCTGTAAAAAAAAGGAGCAGCACAGGTGTTTCCTTCATTTTCCTCCTCAAGGATAGTCATAAATGAGAGATATAGTCTCTCTATTAGGTTCTGGTTTCTCTCAGCCTATGAATTCACCCTGTTATTGGCCTRTCTTTTGAATTCTAGACTGTCAGTTCCTCTACTTTTTCTCCTTGTGCTTTTTATCCTTTCTCACTGTTAATCACACCCCTTCTTCAGACTGCTTTGTATGCTTTCCACTTATTTGCCTTCCTATTKTAATATTTCCTGTGCTGGTGCTGAGTGATGTCTATCATCCAGGATTTGTCTGTCATGACTGTGATCAAAGGAGGTCACCACCTATTCTTTTTAAAGCCCATATCTTCAAGTGAGTCTGGAAAAATTGAAGATGGAAAATTRTGTTTGGTGTTTTATAGCATTGTATATTATGTGGGAAATTCATATGTTTTCATTTTGAGTTGTTTCTAGATCATGCTATCCTTCTGGTTTTTCTCTGAAATATAAGACTATAACATTGCCTCGATATTCTCCACCAATGGATAAGGAATTGAATTCCTCCAAAAGTTGAGGTTTTTTTTGAAACCAGGTTTTGGCTGAGGTATATGATCATCCTGGATCTATTGATAAAGTGAAAATAGAGAGAATCTTAGGATTTCTTCAGATGTTTTTAAATGTAGGACTCCTGTCGAAATGCTTCTGCTCTRTATTACATAGTTCTTGAAATACAGTGTCAAGGAGAAACAATAACATGTTACTAAATGAGAGATTAATATCTATTGTGAYGTCTGAAGCACAGTAATTCCCTTGTATTTATGGGACTAGATACGGAAACGTAAGAAAACATTAGAAGTCCTACAGCTTCAAAGGTGTGGTCTCTTTCTAAAACTTTCCTGGAATTTGTAACATTTTTATTTCTCTAAAATTGAAGGAAACCATAGCTGAGGGCTTGAAAATTCACTGAAATGTGAACTGCACTTCCACAAATTTACACTAAAATTTMTATGTTTTTAAAACTTCAGGGTTTTTTCTTAAATACAATCCTATAGGATGTGCAAGTGACAATGTACCTTTCTGTTCTGATTATCAAAACTAAGGAAGTTCATTTTGTTTCCTCATCGTAGAAACTATGATGAACAAGATGCTTAACAGCTCAGCAAGTAAACAGATTGACCTGTTGACACAGCTTGTAGTAAATATCTCTTCCTGTGTGTTACTGGACCGTTTCCAGCCTTTTGACTCTATTGAGAAATTGGAGGAGAAGGCTCATGTACTCATGCAGGAAAATAATCTTTTGGCTAGTAAGTACCTTATGTAAAACATATTTTTACATATTAAAAATTTTAGGCTTTGTAGTTGTTGTCTGTGTTTATTTATAAGGTAGGTTAAGGTTGCACAGTTTCAAAGCGTGCATTAAATCACATATAATACAGTCAAAATAAAGCACATTTGAATACTCTAATGTAACCTGGAAAGACTAATTATATTAACTGTGGAATGGCCAAATTCATCCTTCGAGTCTCTTATTTGTAAAAATATTTAAAAGAATGGTCATAAATATTTAAAGAAGAAAGAGGTGAAAAAATGTAGAATACTGAGGTAATTTAACAAGATGACGAGATGATCTAGTTAATCTAGTTTACATGCTTTCATTTTTTTTTAAATATTTTTGACTTTTCAGAAAGGAGGAAAGAAAGGGGTTTTGGTAAAATTTATTCTTAAACCAAGAGCTCAGAAAGATTAGCTWGTTTATTCAGAGTAAATACATTATTAAGGAAAGCCTTTTCTTCCCTGGGATTACACTTTTTATCTTTTTCCTGTATTATATGCTTATCACAGWGAATCAATTAATTTTACAAGGGAGTTTAAAAGGCAAGAATATTTTCCTTAACATGCACACTTTTCTGGCAGAAAATGCTGTATGTTGCACGTAGCCTTTCCAGAAGRAAGGTCCACTTAAGTCAATATAAAGTGTTTCACAAAATTTTGCCACTGTTCTTTTGTTTTTTATTGTCTCCCTTATGCCTGTATGTGTACAACAGAAGACATGAGAAAGCACTTGTACAGAAGGAAACTGCTGAGTCTGGAACCCTATGCTTGTTTTGTGATCTGCACAGTACCCTGGCAATGGCTATCCTCTATCAATATAAAACCAGCAGCCCATACCTTGAGATATGGAAAATTCTCAGGAATACTTTGGAGAAGGCAATCTGTTTGTCTCTTCAAGGAAAAAAAAAAGGACAGATAAATCTTGGCTCTCAGAAAATTGAATTAGTAAATTCTAGATCCACTTACCTAAGGAAGGGTSATATGCTAATATAAGACAAGACATTTCTTGTGAGTGTTGTTCAGTGCTCTGGCCCTATAATATCTTCAGATTATTAGAGAGAAGATGGCATTTAAGGGACCTAATGTGTCCAGTATGTCAATGTTACATGCTCTGATGTAAGCATACATTCCTCTCCRTAGAATATGTTCAACTAGAATGGAATTTTCCTTGCTTTGGTTGTGGTCTTCAGAGCCTCATGGAGTGTCTTAGAAAATCAACTCTTTGCATAAATGGGAAAATGTGATTGGCCAGCTAAAAGAAATAAACTTTGCAGTAAAGTGTTCTATATTTTATTATCATTCAGAGAACCAGATGATAGGTAAGGTGTCTCTCCCTTTTCCTAACAAAGAAAAGGGCAACATTTTGCATTTATCCAGAAATGTTTTATCCAAAAAAGTCTGGGTCCCCCCAAAAGTGAATGCAATCACTCTCCTGTTTTGGCTTCATCTTTACAGCTGCATATCAAGATTTCATCTGTTTGGGTTTTTTTTTTTTTTTCCTTTTTACAGAGCTAGAGAAAACAAACATGCAAAATCTGCAATTCTATGCCAGAAGATTTGTAATTGGCTTGAAAATTTACAACAGAGTAAATTTTAGTGGGTTGGTACGGTTTCCTTTGTCATCTTGTTAGGGAAGTTGCTATCCTTTTTGTTGGAGAAATTTTATAGCTGCTGCTTTTACTGTGGAACTAATATCAGTCTYCCAAAAAGGGTTAAGTATGGATGCAAAGAGAAAACAGCAGTTAAAAAARAACCCAAATAATCTCAGACAAAAACGGTAGTTACAAACCCATTTATCATGTGAATTATCTTTTGCATTTCATATTCACAAATGTAAAAAATGTGTCTCTGAAAGCTGCCAGTTTTGGGCTGGGGATCAAGAAACTTTAGAGGCCTGCTCTGGCAGATGAATGTATCCTATGTCATACAGTAATTAACCATGAGATAGCTATGGAATAGCATAAATTATATAAGCTTAGTTATGAAGCTTTCTTTCTTCTCATGTCAGGTATTATCTTCCTTCCGCCAAAGGACAAGAAGCAAAATTCTAGCAATCTTCTTCCAAAACACATTTCATATACAATTAGAACCAGCGTTCTCTACAGCATGAGAACAGATTTGATTAAAAATCCAACATGGAAATCCCATCCCCACAAGTTGCCAGCTGATGGGTTCAAATACAACCATGTCTTTATTCCTCTTCAAGACATGATTGACAGGGCAATTATTTCAGCACAGACTGGGACAGACACCTCAGAAACAGCAATTCAGGTGCAAGCCATGCCTTACCCTTGTCATACAAGTGATCTGTAAGTAAACTTTCAGCTTTTTAATTCAATGTATTATCCTTGTTAGATTAGTGCTAGAGAACTTGGGATTCTWCTACGTTCCCACTTTTAAATGGGTGAATGTATATCTTGGCACAGGATTAAACAAGTACATCCAAAACCAGACTATTACAGCATAGCAAATATTGACTGACAGCTGTGTTTAACATAACACATTATACAATGTTTGTTGGTTATCWGGCAGATGGCCCCTTACAAACTGTTTGCAGCCATACTGTGGAGTAGCCTGCTGGACAGAGTCTGTGTCAAAATAGTGTGAAATTAACTTAGATTATTCAAAGAGAGCCCTTTGAAATCCTTAATTTCCTATTAGATTTTAAAATTAGTTRGTGGTAATAAATTTGTTAAAGTGGAGTAAAAATTGACTGTTATTCCTCACTGTCCAAATATATTACTTTACAGTTGACAGAAATCTGAATTTTGTTTGACTTTGAATGGAGCCCTAAAGAGTAATTAAATCAGTTKCATTGTTTAAAATAATGATATATAAAATAATAATATAATAATATTGTACAATTGATAAATTTAGCTTGTTACATAAAAAATAAGTCAGTCTAACCAGAACAGGAATAAATCTTATTATTCTTATCAGATCTTATTTTGTGCATGCTTTAAGAACAGTTCCAGTATTAACCTATTAAAATTCTGCTAGAAAATAAATTACCTTTGGGGGTTGACAGCTCTTCATGTGTGTTCTTTCATAGATTCTTGAACAACATAGGGTTTTTTTTCCCACTTATGATGATGTTAACATGGATGGTTTCAGTTGCTGGTATGGTTCGCAAGCTGGTTTATGAAAGAGAAATTCATCTTGAAGAGGTAAGAGGCAGATGAACCTCTGAAAAGAAAATTTATTCATTAAAATGCACTGATATGCAGAACTTGTWAGGTACTTTTATGTACTTATAATCCAGATGGCTTTGTTTTCACTTGTTTCCTCTGGGCAGTGGGGTCTGGTTCTAGYTGCCAACACAGATTCACAACATTGTTTGAGCATCACGTTGCAAATATTGTCCATGTGGCAAAAAGCAACAAGCAAAAGATCCATAGAGGTTGAAGCTGGAAAGTGTTATTTGGGAGGGTCTTGTGATTACAATGTTTTTTATTTTGGATTTTTTTTTTTCATATTTTGCTCTATGTAGTCTCTAACGATAAAACTATTTAACCCAAGTTATGAATTTGTCGTGTACTGTGTAACTATCAGAAATAGAAGGGAAATGACATAAAAAACCTCAACTTTTTTGCTTATATCAATGACTAGTCTTCACAGGTCCTAAGCATATGGAAGGATAGGGGCCCTGTGATACATTTCTTTATGRAGAATACACTCTTTTAAAGAATTACACTAGTTTCACTGTATCACCAGAATTACTGCTTGAGTAAGATTTTTAATTTGGGGAATTAYTGAGGAGTTATCTAATTTCTCTAATCTTTCTGTTGTAAGATAAACTTTTTTAATACTTCAAAATATTAAATCAACTTAATATAAATTTTAATGGTCTTATGAAAAATGTGTTAGAGGTTTTATTAGATTGTATCAAAAAGCATTTTTTAGAAAGAGGGATGATACTTCTTASCTGGCTTAATGGTGATTTGCCTGGTAATACATAAAGGTCACAAACTCTACATCTCTTTCAGAAGCTCAACAGGCTGGGAAAAATAAAAAGTTTGTTTATACATTGCTGTGGATGCTCTCTGTACTTTTTAGAGTACAAAAAGGCAAACTCCTCACTGGAACAACCAGTAATCTGACATTTGGTCCTGAACCCTGTGCAAAAGAGAGCTGTGCTGAGCGCAGTGACTCCTTGTATTTGTTTGTGATGATCTGAGAGACTGCCCTGCTCAACAACACAGGAGACCTAGGAGAGAACACAGGACAAGGGAAAAGAAACTAAAAAATTAAGGGGAAGATGACATCCTTTGGGAAGCTGGTAGTYTCTTGGTGACATGTTTTGTTTAAAAAAGAAAAACAAGAAGGAAGTTTGTTCCTAACTTTAGCTCTCTTTGCTTGTTTTCTTGCAGTACATGAAGACAATGGGTGTGTATCCAGCCATTCATTTCTTTGCTTGGTTTTTGGAGAATGTCATTGTGCTCACAGTAAGCAGCTGTGCTCTGGCCATCATTTTAAAAACAAGTGGTATCTTTGCTTATAGCAATGGCTTCCTTATCTTCCTTTTCCTCCTGGAATTTGGAGTTACCGTTATCATGTTAAGCTATTTTTTGGGAGCGTTTTTTAGCAGTGCTGATACAGCAGCTCTGTGTGCCAGCCTTGTCTATATGATCAGCTTTTTACCCTACATAGTTTTGTTGGTCCTGCAGAACCAGCTGAGTTTCACCAGCCAGATTATAATGGTAAATATTTATTTTTCTTTCCTAATTTTTCTTCTCTAACTATGCTGTGAATTTCTATAGTTTCAAAACATTAGACCGTAATGAACTTATTTTTTCCCTATTTCTGTTTGCTTTTGTGATCATTGGAAATAAATCACACTAATAAATCTCCTGTGGGATAATATTTAGGATGTGGAAAGCAATGAAAATAAATTGTCAGGGCAATTTTATAAATCTACACAAAATATTGGGAATTTGCATTCCTCATGCTCATGAGTTCTCTTAATGGCTTGGCCTCAAAATATTTGTAACTTTTGTGTATTTTCAAGATCAGCTGATAACATGCCACTTCTCAAAGTCATTATTTGTTTGGAGGAAATGTAGTGATTGATTTTCTGTTAGGTGTAATTGGAGAATAGATCAGAAACYTGTCCAGGCATGTAATCTGAGGTATATGTTTCTTTGGGATAGGTTATTTCAGGTCTTTTCCTGATTGATGTATTCCATAGCCTGCTTTATGTCTTTGTACTGCCCTAACATACTATATTCCTGAATGTAACATCAGATATCACCATCATATAATGAAAACCGTATTTCACASATCATGACTTCACTATTTCAAAATAACTCACTATATTAAGCTGGTGGAATAATTCATACACTTAAAAAATGCTAATTTTTTAAGCATCAGTTGTTCAGATGAAATAACACTTTCCAGTATTAATAACTAGATTATTGGAGCTCTGTTAGGTGGCGTAAATACTAGTGAGGTTTGTGAGGGACTATGGTTAAAACATAAAGAGAAAGAGCAACTATTATCCTATGTTGAGGAAAAARATGGTCTTTTTAGTTTGTGCTTACTTTTAGTACCACAAGTTATTTTATTTCATGGAACTTGTTAACAACATGTTTTTATTTGATGTTCACATCCTCTTTCTCTTTTGGTGTTGTAGTGTCTTCTTTCTACAACTGCCTTTGGGCAAGGAATATTTTTCATTACATATTTTGAGGGTCAAGAAATAGGTAAGCTCTTCAGTTAGGAGAAAGTTGTAATAATAATTTCAAAAACTACAGTTGGATATGTTTTTCAATCAGATCAAGTTCAGATATTTAAAAGGATGTAACACTTTTTTTTTACTATTATGGCAAGATCAATATTGATGAATGGGTGCTTCTAACTACCGAAAAAGTATCATAATGGTACAATAGCTGGTAATAGCGGAAGAGACAATTGCAGAAAATGTTACTTAAATTTCCCACCAGACACTTCATCAAAATGACTCATCTTTACTGAAGGTAGGGCAAAATGTGCTTAGGGAAAAACTTTCCTTGACTATAGTAGAAAAACATTGTAGAAGCAATATCATGACCCAGTGTACTGCAAGGAAAGTAGCATTTTCAGTAAAAAAATGAGGTTTTTATTTTATTTTAAATAAATTTACAATTTTGTTATTTTTGTTTCCTGTTTAGCAGTATGGTAGCTACTCGTTCTTATTTCATGTTTTTAAAGAAGTTATACTATAGTTTGCACCTTTTTTTTTCCTTTCATGTCTTTTGCAATGCAATAATTATATGAAGCAACTATTCCATGAATTCACTCCTGTTTACCTCAGATTTGAATTTTCAGATTTAGCATTATAGAAATATTAAACTTTGTGTAATCTTTATATCAGCAGAGTCGCTTAAAGCCTGATTCATTGGTCAGTGCCCCATTTTGTGGGTGTTGTTATGTTTTTTCTTTTGCCAAATTAAGGGCTAGCTAAAACTTCATAAACAGCCCTTTCTGCAACAGCTTCTCTACATTTTCCCAGCACCAATGTCACCTGCTGTTCTAAACACAAGATTGTAGAGGCATAGAAATTTATTTCTGTTCATGAGGATTACAGTTATTAACTATGATTTGTTTGGTGCTTAAATACCCAGAAGTGTGGGGTGTTGATGTGTTTGTGATCTTTAATGCTGTACTGATTTAGCTTTGACCTTTACGAAATCATTATTGTTACTACCAGGAATACAGTGGAATAATGTGCACCAGTCAATGGCACAAGGAGGATACATGACCTTTGGATGGATGTGCTGGATGATGTTCTTTGACTCCATTTTATATTATGTAGGTGGCTGGTATTTCAGCAATATTATTCYTGGTAAGATAATGGACTCGTTCTTATTTCATCTTTTTGAATAAGTTATTTAATATTATTCCTCCATTAATATCTCTACAATGTAAACAAATCAAACACCACAGGAGACACTCAATGTAGCATTGTCTTTCTTGGTTTTATGCAAATAAAACAAAAGAAAATCTTTTTCTCTGAGTTAAGGTTCTGCGGAACTGTCTGATTTTTTTTTTTAGGGACTGGGAAAAAACAATCTTCCTAAATACACAAATATTGACTAGTGCTAACACAAGGACTAGAATTTGTAGGTAGGCATGAAATATCTTTTGTTTGCTTATGGGTAGGACTAATGTTTGGCAGAATTAGGAATTTATTAGATCTTCACAGTAACAGAGCTTAGTCTGGTTGCAAAACTTCCCGTAAAAATGGTGAATCTTCTGAATCAGTACTTGGGTTGAAACCCATGAACAGCAGCACATTTTTAGATCATAAAGACCTCAGAGAGCCTGGTAACTATGTCTTGCTCCCAATCAGTCCACAGTCCAGTTCATAAAGAAAACTAATTGTTTTTCAAGTGTATTTTCAGAAACTAGTGGTGTGTTTTTAAATTTCTTTCCATGAACCAAGTTTTATAAGTCTTATAAAGCTGGTTGATGTATTTTAAATCAGAGCCTCATGCCTCACTGTATGTTTTACTTTTCCTCTGATAATTTACCTTTCCTCTGATCTGCATACATCACTTTGTCTTCTGGCTACTTGCATTTTTTTTTAAATTAAAAATTAATTTTGCCTTGAAAAATAAGGATGGGTGGAACATGCAACTGAATTTTTWAAATTTTATCTTAAATTTCCATTTGCCCTTCAGTGTCAATGCAATGACACTCCAAACAGAGAGAGTGTGTAATGTGTGATGGGTAAGTGATGTCTGAAAAGATCAGGCAATGCTAAAGATTAGGTTGTATATAGGAGTGTGTGTTTGCCCTTTCTTTTCATGTGCTGCAATAAATATTTCCTGCGGTGGTTGATTTGTTTGCATTGTGCAGACATTAGTGGAAGAATGAGCAATGGATTATTTTTATAGTAAAAAATTAGGCTCTTTGTCTTGGCAGGCCATTTGGTGGGTTTTCTTTTGTACAGGTTACAAGATTATGTTAAGTCTAAAGTTCTGTTATACTTCGAAGCTGATTTGGAGATAAGAGAAAGCATCACTAAAGTTTGATTATTTTATSTCAGCACCTGGTTTGACTTTTTTACACTTTAATGAAATTTTTAAGCAGTGCCAAGAATTTGAGCTAATTRAATGGTCTAACCCGCTGTTTGTAAGCAGTGATAGAATATTTAGTTTACAARCAGATGCAAAATGACTATAAATATTTCAACAGTTTATATCATAATTCTTATATAGGCAAGTTCGGATTAAAGAACCGATGGTACTTTCCCTTTACCGTTTCCTACTGGAAGAACCTGTGTGGTGCAGACAGAATCAAGAGACATTATCTGAATTCTAATATGTTTTTCTTCAATGAAAACTTCCAAGAAAAAGGTTTGTAGTAATAGAATATGAACAGTGGGGATTTTTTTTCAATGATGTGCTAGTCATGGTCATTCTGTTTTTACATTGCTTGGTCTCATATTATAAGTTTAGATCATGTCCCTTTCTTTTTTCCATTWTATAGTACATTTGCTACACCCTGTAATGCTTGATTCATTCACTGAAAACTATTGTGCAGAAATATTAAAGAAAACTCTTGAAAAGATGTAGAATAAGTGTCTCTTGGGTTCCTACTGTCCCAGTGTGTTGTCTCTTTGCTTTGTTTGGATCTTTTGGAGTTCACTGAAGCCTTTCCTAGTCTTACTGAGTCTGAAGCATGTAGGACTTTAATAAAATTAAAAAAAAATGCTTCTTGTTTCAGTGGACAAATTAACTTCATTCATTTCTTTCCCTTCTGTTTTTAATTTCCCTCTTCTATAATCACTGTTTTTTCTATCTCTGCTTTTTAGCCTTCTGTTTGGAAAGCTGTTATTGTAACTAATTTTTATCTGCCTCCAGATGCTTTCACAACTCTTCCATGTATGTTCACTTACAATTAATTCAGATTTTTTTCTTTACTTCCCTTCTCTATTCTCTTTAAGAACTTTCTCACATTTAGTTTAGATTTTGGAAATGAAGGAGTAAGTCACCCTCACCTGTATTTTATCTTGGACTTTAGAAAAACATGATGTATTGTGCTTTTTTTGGACATTACAATAGCTTAGAAATGATCCAGTTGTCTGTAGCATAGGTGAAGAAGCTGAACATCTCAGCAATTTTATGTATAGATGTCTCCTAGATTAGAGCAGGCTTCAAAATTTCTTGAGGYTCATTTAAATACTTGTGGAAAAACTATTTGTATTAATTTTGCCTGAATTTTTGCAATTTGGAACAACTCCATTTTGTTAAGATGATTGTATTTGCTCCTTACATAAAATGAAGMTTTCCAGTGTTTCCCTCTGGGTTCACCACACAATCTGTGGAAAACAAAGAAATAATCTCTGCTTGACCAGTCATTAGRGTGGTTTCTGTCTGAAGCCATCCAAGTGCCTACACTTGGTGGCTCGCTTCTCCTCGTGTTGGGAGGTTRATATCAAATTGCCTGTGTGTGAATGCTGAAACTGTCATGCAGCAAAGGAACCTGCTGTCTTTTTTAAGAATTGTGTGCCATTGTACTGACAATGGGATAAATGCATCCATGAAGGATTGTTTTGGAACAGCAAAGTGATTTACTTTCACAAAATTTTTACACTTGTTCCATACAGCCCAGGTAAGGGCTGTTTCCMGGGGTTTGGAAAACAATTGGGAAACCAGAGGTGTGTGAGGGAGGGGCTGGAGTTKAAGTTCTACCAGCTGGAACTACAACTAGAGCAGGGCTGGGAGAGACCAGGGTGCTGTGTACCCACTTGGAGCTCCCCCTTTTAAAAGCAGTTTAGTGTCTGCTAATAACTTGGAGCTCTTTGAGTCTTTCCTGARCTACATGGTCTGAGGTGYMCTCTGTGCTTGAATGCTTTTTTGTKAATTCCCAGGATGCAAATTTAGGAAACAATAGAATGAGCATGAAGAATATTTGTTGGTGGTTTTAGTCTGCAGACCAAAAGTCAGAGGAGGTAACTGGAAGAGAGGTTCGTGACAAGGAAGACCTTAGTAGTGTCACAATTGCGGATAGTACCTTGTTAGCAAGTGACCTCAAATTTAGAAAGATTTTTTCTCAGAAAATCTTTAAAGTTGATTGTGAAAGGAGAAAACCAACTTTTTAATTCATAGCATAAACAAATCAATCTTTGAAATAATGATACAAATTTTAATTTGTAACTGATTTACATAAATTCAAATTTTTATGTATAGCATAGTTCTCTGTTCTTGTAAYGTTTACATTTTATTTATGTAAAAGWATTGCATACAATATAACTCTAAACCATAAATATTTTATATAAATGTATATTCATAAGGATAATTCTCTCCTCATAATTCTCATCCATAAGTTTATTTCTATGGACTRGAATTGCAATTTGGCTTGCCTTGCTTAAAAAGAAAAAAACCCAATCTGCTGCCAGATTTCTCAATTGTAATGAGTCAATAAAATATTACACATTAATAATATAAAGGGGCTGCTGGTTGACTGTGATCATATTTGGAAAGGAGTGCCAACCTGACATGGAAAGGAAGGCAACTTCATTGGTGTCATATGGCATCTCAGTTTCCTGATGCTGTTACCTCTTAGTGAGAAAACTGCTGGATAWCTGCTTGCCTTAAGCACCTTGAATTATGTTTAGAGTAGGACGCTGCTCTGAATTATTTCACAGAGATCTTTGTTGCTTTGCTTTGTTGACTGAGGGGAATAGAGAAGATTAACTGCCTGTGCCTGTAAATGTTATGTCACTGTTGTATACCTGAAACTGGATGTCTTGTAGATTACACAGTTAGAATTTTCTCGTGCTTATGGGCATAAAACAATGAATCAAGTAGCATTACTATGAGTATTTTTTACTAGAAATAAAATATAGCAACTATTTTATGACTTTWTCAATACATTTGTAGACATGCACTTAACTTGGCATAACTGTTTTCAGTTGCTTTTTAAAATGAAAATGGGCCAAATTCCTAGCAAATATTAATTGACGTGGTGCCTTTCATTCCAGTTTAGTTTGTGTCCRTTTGGACAATTTCAGCATCTGTTCTAGGCTTTAGTAAATGGTAGAAGGGGTTACATTATTTTGTTCTTCCCTTTATACATCCACACATATGTTTAGATTCAGCAACTGTTTTTTTCTGCTGCTCTTCCCCACACAGACCCAGCATCTCAGGGYTGGAAAGGCCCTTGCACTGAAGAAGCCACCATTGGTGTCATGCTGCTGTCCCTCACCAAAGAGCATGTGAATGGTCAGAAGGCTGCTGTTAAAGATCTCAACCTCACTTTCCATAGGGGTCAGATAACAGCACTCTTGGGACCTAACGGAGCTGGCAAGACAACAGTTATGTAAGTCTGACTTTTAATGCTATTACCATCCCCTCTGGTCTCTGTTATGCTTTTTCAATTCAAAAATTTGTGAACTATTTGTTATGCCTTTTTTCCCCCCCAAATATATATTTGATAAACTCCCCAAACCACATGGAAAGTGAGGGTTGTATATCTACGACAAACGCAATATGATTAGTAGAGAACTGAGTCCTCTGTGCCACTTAAACCATGATGCAACAGCTCAGGAACAGCTTAAATAGGAGCTGGTCACGTCTGGTTGTGGACTTGAACACATATTGCCAGTGTTCTTTTCTGGCATCCTATATATATTCATGACATGGGGAGTGTGGAGTTTYAAGGTGTTTTTGTCCCTAGAGGTTGCAGGGAGCTTCTTTCTTGGCAGTTGACCAGAAATGAAAATAATCTTTAAAAGTATCTCAAGTAAGAAGTTTGTTTCTATATTTCTGTTAGCTGTGGTCACTTTCATCAAGCCAGTGATGCATGATGGGACCTAACTGGAATACTCCACACAGAATACCCATGTGAAAACGCTGTTAGATTTGGTTGGGGAAAAACATGGATTTTGTTCTGGAAGAAGGGAAATGAATAACTATTGAGACCATGTTTTAAAAAAAAACAAACCAAAAAACCCACCAACCAACAAAAAAAACCCCAAACAAAAAACAAAACCAAAAAATCAAAAAACCCCAGAAAACCACCAAAAGCAAAAAATAGTTAAACTCAAACCCAAAACATTAGTGATGTTTCTACAACCATACTTGACCAAATTGATGTTGCTCTAAGGATGCTAGAACATACATCAGGATATCCAAGTGATGCGCGAATTGCACATTATTGTACTGATTTTTTTTTTTTTCTTATACCAGATCCCTGTTGACTGGTCTKTATCCACCGAGCTCTGGTACGATTATTGTTAATGGGAAGGACATCCGGACTGAGCTGGCTGCCATCAGGACAGAGYTGGGTGTGTGCCCGCAGTACGATGTCCTGTTCAGCACACTGACAGTGCGAGAGCACCTCCTGCTCTATGGGTCAGTGAAGGCACCTGCATGGACCAAAGAGCAGTTGAATGAGCAAGTCACTGGGTAAGTTTTCCTTCAATTTGTTGAAATCTGTCACCTAAATTGGTAAAGACTATTGCAAGCCACTCAAGAAAGAAAAAATGGAAAACTTGCAAGMAAAAGGCAATGGAAATTGCAGGTTTTGTGAGTTTTTATCATATTTCTTGTTCTAAAATCCTGACTTGAAAATAGATTTCCTAGTTTCTAACTCTTACTTGAATATACTTGTAGTGGTAGTGTCAATGTTTAAAAACCTGGTATACAGAACCATCAAATAATGATGTTTTGTCTGGAATGGAGGTGGTTAGCCTTGTTGCAGCTGCAGGGGTTCTGTGTCATGCTGTCTGCCTTACCTCTGTCCTTGCTGGAGAGGCAGACAGAAAGTGAACTGCTGTGCTTGCCCTGAGTTTTTTGATAAATCAACAATGGCTTTATATATTTATTATCCTTTATTGCCTCACCTGTGGCAGAAGGAAGGTTAGAAAGCCAGAAAAGCTAGGTAAAGGCAGTGCTTGTTCCATTCTTTTTAAATAGGCCACCCTATTTTCCTTTGGCAAAATCCAGCCTTGAAATGTTTCTTATAAATGAAGAGGTTTAAAAATGAACAATCCAATGGGAAAAACAAGTCAGAACTCTGACATGACCTCCAAAGATTTGCCACTTGTCATCTTATAAATGTTTGCTTGAGTGTTTGTGCTGATACTTTGATTTAGGGCTAAATATTATTTTTGCCTAGTATATATTAAACTATCTAGTAAACTGTACAAGTTGGGATCTGGTTCATTAATTTCAAACTACATTTTCTCTACTTCAGGAATAAAAGGTATGCTTTTCAAACTGTGTGGCAGTGTAAACAGTTTCTGTTTACCTTCTGATTCATGCTAGACTTTCTGAAGGACTAGGCACTTCCATGCTTCAATGGAAATAAATGTCAAGTTGGTGGGACTTCTCCTTAAGTGTACAATCAGGTATATGCAGAGGCATTTGTGGCTAAGTGGCTTTCCTTTTTTGGTAGCTGAAATAAAAGTCTGTTACTTTCAAATTTTGATCTGAACAAAYGCAGATATGGACACTACATTCTCTCCAGAAACAACAGAAGCAATTCACTAGAACTACGGAGACTAAGCAAACCTAGTACATGGTTTAAAATTTATGCAAATAATATTCTCTATCTTATAGTGCTTATACTGCTGAATTACAAGTCTGTCATACTACTGGCACATAAGAACACTCAGAACTCTGCAGGCCTTGCTACTAAAAAAAATTATTTTTATAGATAACAAATACTTAAAAAAATTCAGAGACGTTAAAAAAGCAACAAAACAATGAAACAAAATCTTTTTATTAAAAAAAGAGGGCTTCTAAAGAGATAATTTTCCTCACTATATAACTGCAGAACAGGTATTGAAACCTGTTTTCTTAAAAATGAGAAATTCTCTCAGGGTAAATGGCATGGCTTACAGACTRCATATTCACTGAAATGATTCAGGAGTTTAGCTTAGGACTGTTGAGCCTTCCATATGTTGCTTGCCAGGCTGATAGCAGCTGAAAGCTCTTAGGTCAATGACTGGATGCACACTGTGATGAAAAAGAAAATTAAAGGTCTTATAGTGTCGCCTTTATTAATCATGTTTCCATACCGTGCTCAGATGCAAGTTTATCATCAGAGGGCAAGAGCTGAATTGGAAACATTTGTAAGGTATCTCCCAGTCCTTAACACAGGAATTAGATTGGCTTATATAAAATTATTCTACCCTGGGATCACTAATTGGTTTATTTCACAAACACATCTTCTAAAAGAAAAAAAAGGAGCGCTATTACCTTATTTACTTCAAATGACTACACATTTTTTTAAAAACTCAGGCATCTCTAATGTTCTTCAGGTGGTTTGCAAAACCTGAAGCACAGCTTGTGTTATGAAATGAGCAGTCTTTATCATTTTTAAAGGGTCTATAATCTGGAGTTTGCTGAAGTTGTTGGACAAAAAGGTATTTATTTTATTAACTTTAATTTAAAAGTTGTCTGTATAACACTTATGCCAAATCTRTGCATCAGGTGATGATGAGCATTTATGCTTTGTAGGTAAAGAGATATTTTTTTTTCCTACTTGTTTTTGCCACCAAAATATATAATCAGGCAAAGGTTGTGAATTTATCACTTTCCATTTACAGTGCCTTTTCAGTAGTTTTTTGAATGGACATGATGTGACTACAAAAACATTTTCAAAGTTGGTCCTGTTTCTGTGCACCTATTTCAGAGCTCTGGAAGATGTGGATTTATCCCAGCATCAGTACAAACCTGTTGGAGCCCTTTCTGGGGGAATGAAAAGGAGGTTGTCAATTGCCATCTCCTTTATTGGAAACTCAAAGACAGTTGTTCTGGATGAGCCCACCAGTGGAGTAGATCCGTGTTCTCGCCGTAGTATCTGGGATGTTCTTCTGAAGTACAAAGCTGGTACAAAGTTTATGTACATAATTTGCTTCTTGTTTCCCTTTCTGGATTCTTTTTCAATAACTTTAAACTGGATTATCAGAAGCTGGATACATTAATTTCTGAGGAAACATTAAGCTGAACTTGGTTACTTTAAGGCAAGTGAAATGGCATTACAAGAATTATCTACTATTGTACAGAAAGATGCCCAATCTAAAAAAGTATTGAACTTAGTTCTAAGTCCTATCCTGAAGCTTCTCCCCTTTCTCCAGCTTCTCAAAATTACTTTCTGGTTTCCATTTCTCATATATCTCTATATGGATGCTTATGTACTTCTAATGAAAATAGACTCATCAGTCAGTCTGCTCCACTAATTTTGAAATTGATTGTGGGAAGCAAACTCTTCAGCTGGTGAGCACACAATTAGCAGTAAGAACTCACATTGAAGGATTCATTGAAAGAGACACTGCTGTTATGTCTTAAGCTTTTAAAATGGCTGGAAGTTCTAAAACCTTTATACTGCTTGCTATGTATGAAACAGGGCAAAGCAAGTTTCRACCTGAATCTAACTCAAATTGTAATTATGACAGCAGCTTTTGTTTATGTCCTGCAGTTATGTTTTGAAGAGTCCTGGAAACATGTTCCCTTAAGGCTAAAAGACCCTTGTGAGGTGTTTCTCTAGAAACAGGTTTTGTAGACATGTACCAATCTTTCTCATGCAGGTTGCACACTAATCTTTACCACTCACCATCTTGACGAGGCCGAGGTGCTCAGTGATCGCATTGCCATCCTGCAACGTGGCCAGCTGAGGTGCTGTGGTTCTCCCTCTTATCTGAGGGAGACATATGGCCAGGGACACAGTCTAACWCTCATAAAAAAGGTATATTAAAAATGTACTGTACAGAACTTAAAAATGCCTACCAAGAAATAGCTGTGTACATTTTAAGGAAGCTGTATGTCCCTGGCAGGAAATAATATGTGATATAGATTGTTAGAGACCCAGCAAAAAATGTTTTTATTATCTTTCTTGGTTGTTTTGGATGGGTGATATTACTATTGTTATTTAGGAGAACACAGTCTGGCACCTTTGAATATGGTSAATGTCAGTATTTAGCTAAAAAGGGTTTGTCTCACCATTCTTTATTCTTGTCTCACTGTTCTTTTACCTGTGTATCCCAGGTGGGAGGCAGTTTCATTAATTGAAATTTTCCTGCATGAATTCTTCTATTAAGTCCAATACTTCTGGTAATATTTAAKTTTTTATGCATGATTATCTTTCTTTCCCCATAGCCCTCTGTGTTTGAAATCCAGGACCCTAAGCACATTGTTCAGGTCACWTCTCTGGTACAGACCCACATCCCAGAAGCCTTTTTGAAAGAGAACAGTGGAACTGAGCTGACCTATGTGATTCCAGAAAAGGCAGATAAAACCKCTTTTAAAGGTCTTTTTCAAGCTTTAGATGAAAGCCTTCAGCATCTACATGTGACTGGCTATGGCATTTCTGACACAACTTTGGAAGAGGTACTTGCAGTTTTTCTGTGTAATGACTTGATATTGCACAATTTCTTGTGCAAAGCATGTTTTCTAAACAGAAAAAGYRAGCAAACAAACAAAACCTYCCAAATCAGGTAGTCTGTACCTTATAGTTTTRCTCTGCTGTTAATTCCACTCTACTATGATGTATTTTTTTTATTTCAAGAATCTATTTTAAAGACTGATGAACTGTGCAAGCCTTAAATATTTGTTTTTGAATTAACTTAAGGAAAATTTTATGTGTCATTTACTTAATGAGAAGCAGTGTTGTCCTAAACCTGTATTGGAACAAGCTTTAAACTTTCAAGTCTGGTATTTCATTTCAGGTGGCTCTTTGGACAGAAAAAAATATTGCTAAGAATGCTTCCTAATTTACAAGTTCTGAAGCTTAGGACTTAACCCAACAGTGTGATGAAATATCTAAAGGGTATTTTCAGTCTATCCCAAGAGAGAGTGACTTTGATATATGTAGATGTGAATATATATACACACATATTTGTACATGTATATGTGTGTCTATATTAAATGGATCAGAGGAAGAGACTGTTATGCATCTTCATCACTCTGAATTCAGCTCTGTGCAAACAACCATGTCAGTGAGAGGTTATTTCCCTTGGACTCTTTTTACCCCATCTATGACTTTTAAATAACACGATTCCCTAAACCACCACTGTCCAAGAACTGTACTACAGATCCCTTAGAAATATTTTTTTTTTTCACTTCTTCAAGTGATGATAGGAGATAATATAATTTTGCATAGTTTGCAAGTTTAATAAACATTTTTTAGAATGTTATTAAGTAAATTACATTCCTGCTATACAATTCTATGAGGTAAGTCGAGCATTTATTGAAAAGTTTTTATTTTCTTATTTGAGATAGTTATCGTGCTGTAAGGAATAATATTGTTCACTGTCAAACACTATGGATTTGGAGGTAATGTACATATTGAGAATACTTTTGGATTACATCCCTGGGGGATAAAACAGAACTTTCTACAACTGACCTGTATAAAGTAAATGTGAAATTGTCATGGATATGAGGAAGGTTCCTCAGTGTGCCAAATCTATTACTCAGTTGAGACCTTCCTTTTTAGTTTGGTGAAGGGGAGGTTTAGAAACATCTTTAAATGTGGTATTAGATGTTAATGTATCATTCTTCAGCTTGAAGATTTAATGCATTAATTTGGATTGATTTCTGTCACCTTTGCATCTCAACATTAGTTGTCATTACAACCTCAGCTCTCCATTCTGTTATCAAAAGCCTCTTTGCATTGGGAACTAAAAGGACAGCACATAATGGGACCATTTCATCTATTCAAGCAATTCAATCTGGAAACAAAGAACCCTGGCTTTAAAGGAAGAAACATGTTATAAATCTCTCTCTTTTTGTTCTCTTATGCACTCACCATTATTCTTTTTCAGTCTGAGGGACACTCACACTCTTTAAAAATCATATTAATTGAGGGGGAAAATGGACTTTCAGTAATATTTCAAAGGAATCATGAAGTTCTAACAAATCAGTTTCTGACACTTTTAAATCTCAGCAATATTCTATTTGCTCCAATTTRGGCTTTAGATATCTTTTCCAACCATTTGCATTTGTGTATTTTATAATATTTATAATCCAAAGTGATAGTAGAACCAAAAGGGTACGATAGAAGGATGGCTAAATGAATTAAGAGTATACTACATCTCTAGAGGATGCTTTTTCACTTTCTGGCAACTCTGGAGGTTTCAAAGCTTATTGATTTGTTGCTTTGCTTTGAGGAGAGAACAAAATTATTGTAATACCTTTTCAAAATAAGATGTGTCAAAATTTCTTAATTGTGTACTGTTTTTAAATTATCTTCCTTGAAATGACTTGAGAGTTTTCCTCAAAACTTCCCAGGGAAAGCAATATACCTCCTTGAAATATTTCTGCCTTAAAATGCTATGCACCTTCTCTGAGATGCAGGATACTCTAACAATGTCTAGTGATGGCACAATCTCATTAATCTGTTTCACTGTAGTATTGCATCTGGCCAGACTTGTTTCCTTCAGGGCAAAAAACACACCTACTGCTTGTTTGAAAGAAGCAGCCAGGGCAGTCCTTCTCAACAGCCATCTGGACAAGTCTTTGGTCAGATATGGACTTTCTAGTAAAAGCAGAAATTAAGCAGAATTTCAAAGAATTACAGAATTTCACAGAATATTCTGCATTGGAAGGGACCCACAAGGGTCTTCAATTCCAGCTGTTAAGTGAATGGCCCATAAATGGATTGAACCCATAACCTTGGTGTTACTAGCCCCATGCTCTAATCAACTGAGCATGGAGTAATCGCTAAGGCATATGGGGAAAGGGATGCCCTGCTGAGCTCTAGAAAACACATTCTTTTAGGTATAGGGAGAACATACTGTCTCTTTGTCGTGATGCCTAATCCTGGCTCTTCCATACTAGTGTGTTTTGAAGGGTACTTTGCTAATAACATTGTTAAGGTAATACTACTACTTCTGTCCACAATATCTGGTCCAACATTAGGTAAATTGTCATTTCTTCTGTACAATGTAGTCCCAATTACTCCCATTCTTACTAGGATGTTTGAAAACTTGATACTATGGGGAGGACTGGGCAATGCAGGTGACCTTCTGCCTTTATAGTTGTATCAGAATAAATGTCAATGAAACTAGAGTACACACAGGATATATTGGAAAAGCATTTGGAATTTCTTTTTTTTTTTTTTAAGGTGTAGTTGCACTGGCTCTAAAATGACATGAGGTTAAAGAAGAAAATGTGTGTCTGCAGCTATTTTGACACTGAGATAAATATATGCGAGCATAGCCTTTATCCTAGCCACAAGAGGTGCAGTTACTTCGTGGTTTCACCAAGTGCTTGAYGCCCCTGAAGGACAGGATGCCATCTGGAGGGACTAGATAGGCTCAAGAATCGGGCCCATGGGAACCTTATGAGGTTTAAGAAAACCAAGTACAAGGTGCTGCACTGGGTCCAGGGCAATCCCTGGTATCAACACAGGCTGAGGATGAACARATCCAGAGTAGCCCTGTTGAGAAGGATTTTGGGGTGCTGGAGAGGCTGGACATGACCCAGCCATGTGCACTCMCAGCCCAGAGAGCCAAACGTGTCCTGGGCTGCATCCAAAGCAGGGTGAGCAGTGGGGCGAGGGAGGAGATTCTGCCCCTCTGCTCTGCTCTGGTGAGACCTCACCTGCAGTGCTGTGTCCAGATCTGGGGCCCCAGCATATGAAGGGGTCCCCAGTGCACGAAGGACAGGGACCCTTTGGAGTGAGTCCAGARGAGGGCCACCAAGGAAAATAGAGGGATGGAGCACCTCTCCTATGAGAAAAGGCTGAGAGAATTGGGATTGTTTAACCTGAAGGGAAGAACGCTTTGAGGTGACTTGATTGCAGCCTTCTACTACCTGAAGGAAGCCTACAAGACAGAGAGGGAGTTTTTACAAGAGCATGAAATTACAAGACAAGGGGGAGTAGGTTTAAAACTAGGTATTAGGAAGAAATTCTATGAGGRTGGCGAGGCACTGGATCAGCTTGTCCAGAGAAGCTGTGGGTGTCTCATCCTTGGAAGCATTCAAGACTAGGCTGCATGGAGCTCTCTCTGAGAAATCTGGTCTAGTGGAAGGAGTCCTTGTCCACGGCAGAGGGGTTGAAATTAGGTGATCTTAAAGGTCTCTTTCAACCCAGATTGTTCAGTGATTCCATGATTCAGTTGGTGCAGTTTAGTTTGGTTTGCTTGACAGAACTGGTGTGCAGAACCATCAGCAAGCAGGTCCAAGAAAACAAATTAGAATGTGGCTTTAGGCTGTCAGGATCTGCCTCTAGGGACTAAAACAGAAATAAAGGCCAGAAATTTCTGGCCTTGCAGTTGTTAATGGCCAAAAATGTTCCCTGAAAGTTGGCAGGTAACAAATGCAATCAATAACCACTGTTAAATGGCAATTATATTGACTAAGCGAAATATGGTTTATGTAACAGTCAGAGCTTAGCAAGTCAAGAAATAACTTTCAGCAGCTATAAAGTACTTCACATTGACTGGTTTTTATTGTCTATTGTATGAGCTCCTTGGAAACAAGGAATTTTTTGTTATAGCTGATATAATGTTCTTTTGTGGGAAGAAATAAATGGTTTCTTAATGATTTTTGAAAGTTGCACTGTGGGTATAATCTTGCAGCTCAACCCAAACAGAGAGGAAAGAGCAAAAGAAAACTTACATCAATTGAAAGCAAAACTTGGCTGTACTTTTGCTGTTTAGTTAGAGAGGCTCATTGTACCTGTAATTTCTGTTAATTTTTGTTCTCTTTCTTTTTATCTGAAGTTCTTAGGTTACTTTTTAAATTGCAGTTCAGGTTAAGATAAGAAAATGTTAATTTTGTTYTTAGTTTGAGCTTACAAGAAGTAGTAAGTGTGTGAACAAAGCTCACTATGAAATCTTTCCAAGCTTCTGCAAGGCTGGGGTACAAATAAATGCTTGTCTGTGAAATTCAAAGGGCTTTATGTGGACAGAACTGTGAAACAGGATTAAGCAAGAAATAGTAAGYGAACACAAATCTGTTTGGTGAAGTGTATATAACATTTAAATAGACCTCATGATTATGAAGCTGGTGAATTCTGCATTTTTATAATTTTAACTGTAAGTCCTTTCTGATATATGTTCCTCTGCTTAAGAAAGTTCCTTTCAATTTCAATCTAATGCATATTTTTAGATCGGTTTTTTTTTTTATAAAAGAATGATTTCAGTTTTTCTCTTGGTGATTTTAGGTAAGAGGATCCTTTTCATCTCTATGCAATTTGGGATATGCATGCTAATTGTTTTGCTACAGAACACACATTGCTGCCCAGTCCTCTCTGCAGTATTACAATTTTTACATGACTGTGTTCAACTGTGTTGATGATTGCCTTGTCCTTTAAATGTCTTTCAGAGACATTTTTGTCCAAGTGCTTGCACAAATCTAGAACTTTTCCTAGGTCTCCSTAGACACTGTGAATTCCCTAGAATCTGTAGGTTCTTAGTTCTGTAGGATTTTGTATAATAACTTTAGCTGTGCTAGTACAACTAGAACTCTTTGGTGAGAGTTCTAGTTGTGCCCAATAATTTCTAGCTGGATCATCAGAAAAGAGTTGAAGCAGTYACTGTTTCCTTGGTAAAAAATGCAGTAACTGTGTTCCAACACATACCACCGCTTAGGAACATAAAAAGTTTATCAAGGGCAGACAATCTGTTGAAAAATCCTTGCAGATAGTAGTGTTCGTGGGTCGACAATGTTTTGCATAGGTGCTTTTGCATCTATTGGCATTTATTTAAATTCCCTTATACCCAAGATCTCCACTGGAGAGCTGGACTGATTTTATAATCATATTCCAACAGAGTGGTTACAGCAGTTAGTGGTAATTTCTGAGAGTCTGGATGGTTTAGGGTAGCTAGATAGATAGATAGGTAAATAAGTTTAGAAAATGGATTCTGAATTACTTTTTTCTAATTTCATGAAAGGTGTTTCTGAAGCTGCTCCAGGACTCAGAGAAAATGCCCTATGTTCCACGGGCAGCACAACTGGACCATACAAATRGTGCTGAATCAGTCTGTAAGTAAAAAAATTATGTGCCTTCTGAAGAAACTATATTTATAAAGATCAAAAAAGCAAATGTAAGCATGCATGATGCTTTCAAAGTTGAGGARTGCACAAGCAAATGGACAATACTGCCTGCCACCATCTGGTAATTCCATTTTGTGCTTGTGACGTGACCTGCCTTGGGTAGTAAGTTTTTATATGTGTGATTTACCTCTATCATTTCRCAGTCATCTTCCCACCCTTCTGAGTACACATGAACACCAGCATTAACTTACTGCTTTTTACCAGTCTCTGGAAACTAAGTACCCTCTTTGTCTCATACTGAAAATGGATAAATGTTGCTGAGATATACCACAGATATAAAATCTATAAGCTATTAGAAAGGTACTTTCATGTTCATCCATGTGCCATTCAAAAGAAAAAAAAAAAAAAGCTGGTTCTCCTTGTAGTAGAAGATCATTTGTCTTCTTGCGGTATGCTATTTTAGGTTCCCTTACATGTTAAAAAAAACCCAAAACCCTTCATACTTTCTCTTTTTCTGCCCTGCAAGCTTTGTCCCTTGTTAACATTTTGAAAAACTCAGGAAGCTTTTTATTTTTAAAAAATTCTTTATTTTTTTTAAGAAGAATCACTAATCATCAATAATGTGATGCCATTACAAAATCCAAGACTCAAGTTCTTTAATGTCAGTGCCCATCAAGSTAATTAATATTTTCTCATTGTTTCTGGGATTTTCATGCCTCTATACTTACCATGTTTCTTTCTGTTTGATAATTGACATCTAGAATATAGCTTTCTTTGGTTAAATGTCAAACATCTGGTTCTATGTGTGGTACTCTTCATTTTGTTTCTATAGAGCATGGGCACAGGAAACTTGTGGTCTGTGCACCTTTACTGTTAGAGTAACGGAAATGACACTCGTCAACCAAGCTTGCCTTTTTTGTTAAGATAGATTCAATTAGATCTCCCAGTAATAAGTAATCATTACCAGTAATTGTGGCTTAAGGTGAGACCTTTTCTTACAAAGTCTAAGCTTRAATGGATGACTTTTTCCAGAGGGTCTGTTTGCTGGGCTATTCCAGTGTCTGTTGAATCAGTGAAGATATAASTGCACAAAACTAAAACAGAATCTCTCTAAGCAAGAAAAATTACCACTTCTGTCAGTGATGACAATGTGACTTACATTCAAAACACAGTTTTGAATATCCCTTATTTCATAACAGTTTATTTTTTCACGACTCAGCTAGGACATCTGAAGCAATTTCAAATCAAAAGTCTGTCTTCTCCACATTGCATTTTGATTAAAGATTAAGATTTACAGTTCCTAAAGGAATGAAGACAGTATACTCTACCTAAGAACTTGATATACTTTCCCATCTGCCATTCAATATGTGTAAAGTAGTATTTGTTCAAGTGATTGTATTAATAAAGAATTGAGTAATCAGAGACTCTATATTTTTTCAGTCTGATAAATTATAGTAAGAAATTGTGATAATGCCATTTCTTTGGGGATGAGAGTAAAAGAAAATTGTCATTCATTGCAGATGACTGTCATCCATCATTAAGAATAGTTGTGAAGTGTAGGCATAAGGGATATGGGAAATGGTCATAAAAGGTATCCATCATTGTCAAAGTTATCCAGAATACTCCATGGGCAATAGCTTGACCTGTATAACTTTGTCTTTGAAGGCARATTCAAAGGCAGTCAAACTTTCTGTTGTCAGAGTAGTCAAATGAATTTTCAAAACCCCCTAGAGCAAGCAGCTGGGATTATTGAGGAGATCACAGGATGCTACTATTTGATTTGTAAAAGATTTTGRACTAGAGAGATGCTTTGACAAAGCACAAAACTGAACTCAAACAGGAGTGTTGGCTACCCTTTACTCTGCTGAGCCCTTGAGGTGTCAGGATTATGCAGAAACCAAAATGYTGTCTCATGTCTTCCAGACTAGGAGGCGCAGCAGAGAGGTGTGTATGTCTCTTCTTAAATGAAACTGCAGGAAATTCTGCAGTACAGAATTTAGGCTGATGACCAATGCCACWAACAGGCAAGCGATGTAATTTCAAAATGCAATCTCTGACAGTAGCTCAATGAAGTCAGAACTTTGATAATTTCTAATTATGTTTTACAGTATCTTAATGTATTGTGTCTGATTGGAATTGAGTTAAATTTCTTTATAGCAGCCTCTAAGGTGCTGTGTTTTGGATTTGTGACTGAAACAGTGCTGATAGCACACCAGTGTTTCGTCTGTCACTGAGCAGTATTTGCAGTACCAAGGCTCTCTCTTTTTCTGTTTCCCTTGTGAGTAAGCTGAGGATGAGAAAGAGGGTGAGAGAGGACATGACCTGGACAGATGAGCTAAATTGACCAGAGTTATTCAATGTCACATAGTGCCATGATTGGCAATAAAATGTGAGCAGAGGATTTTTTTCAGATGSTAGCTGTTGCTACCAGTGGCTGAGCATGTTTACTTGTGGGAGGCGGTGAATGATTGCTTTTGCAATACCTGGGTTGGTTTTATTTTTCTTGTTTGTTTGCTGTTTTGGGTTTCTTTTTCTTTCTTTTTCCTTTACTGCTTTAACTGTCTTTATCCTGATCCACAATTTCTCTCATTTTCTCTTTCCTATTCTCATCCCCATCCTGCTGGAGGAGGGGGAGTGTGGGTTAGCAGCTGTTTGGTGCTCGGCTGCTGCTTTAGGTCAACAACAAAAATAACGTAAAATAAACTCAGAATTATTTRAACATTTCTAAATGCAAATGTTAGAGGTAAGTATCAGTCCATTAATTAAATTATTTGTAACAGTTTTAATATTGGTAAATTTAAAGATGAAAAGGAYGCTGCAATATCTACTAGTTTGTTTTCTTTGTGGAAAGTTTTCTCAAAACTTTGTTTTATTGCAATGGAAAAACCTCAGAATAAAACTCACTTTTTTGTGACAACAAAATTTTATTTTAAAGTCAGTTATGACTGTGTGTGCAGTCAGAATATGTGCATATATTATAATGCAGTCATGCATAATTAATTTCAACACAGCTGGAACACACAATAGATGGTTATTGTTTTGTAGATGTGTACAGAGTATGCAGAAAAATGGTCAGCCTGAGCTTCCAATGACTGCTTGACAAGACCATTGAAGCCAAATAGCCTTGAGAAAATGAAGAACCTACTCTATGGAGGCCAGTAAAATTATCATAAACCACAGAAGGCAGTATATGTACAGAAATRATCAGGAGAGCTAAACAAGTCCAAGGGATGACTAACTAACCATGGATAAATGACAAAATTATCTGAACATATGCAAAAGCAGGTRAAAGGCTAGTGAGTGGTCTCATTGGCTCATTCTGGGACCAATATTGTTGAATTTAGGTACTCAGATGTTTTGCTGAAGARCCAAATTAATTCATTTTGTAGCCTTTATTGTCTTAGAAATTTCTGGGAGATACCAACTTTGGATCTAGTCCCTTCTGGCAGTAAAATACAGATGGAACCCCTGAGGTATAGTGAAACTAAATTGTAGAAATTCAAAAAGATACATTATATTTTTCTGCACAGTAATATATAACATTTGAAATTTCTTTTCATATAATATTACAGAGAMTAAGAGTGTGGCAATATGTTTAAAAAGCCAAAGAATGGTTATTAGTGGATATATAATATAAATAGCTATAGTAGTTGAAATGCTATTAAAGCTTATATGCCTTTGAAATTCTTGGATAAGTTAGCCTCTGAAAGTGTTGGTGTGGAAGCAGGTTGATGGATGCATAGCTAAKTTTTAACCCTTCCTCTGCAGCAGCTTGTGTTAGCCATTTTGAACCATTTAGGGCCAAATGTTACATTGCTCCTGTTARGATTTGCAAGATCAACAGTATGTGGTACTCCTAAAACACATATAAAAACTAATTTAATTAAGAAATTTTGGCTGAAAAAAAGCAGACAATAACACTAAAACAGCAAACTGAAGAACTTTTCTGAATTTCAATCAGGTTTCAACTCTGCTTTTTAATTAGCTTCATCAGTGATCCTGAAGTAAACATAGCCTTGATGATGAAAAAAAGAGGCAACTGCTGAAAGGTGATGAGTAGCACCAGCCCTAAGGACCAAGTTAGATCACTTGGAAAGCTGAATCCATTGTAAATAAAGTATTTTAATGAAGCCAAATGCTGGTCATATCTGTGTAGTGGGGAGTAATATCCTTGAAAACTCTGACTTTGACTTATCTGCTAATCCTGGTGGGAAAGCATTTTAAGACAGCTAAGATGATTTATATTTGAACTTAATGTACAAAACTGCATGAAGAGGTAATTTTGACTATCAGTTCAGAATTGATGAGACTGATGCTATAATCTTAGTAAAACTTTTGTGTCTACATTTTTAAGTTTGAATGTCTTTAAGGAGGAATGGAGAATCTGGAAAGTGGACAGAGAAGAATTAATATTGGAGTTGGGCAGTGAAATCCTTATAAAGGCACCATCAGGGCTCCTTTAACATAGTTTATAAAAAACAAAATAAAGAAGTGGTTTGCTTATAAAGCCTATTTTTTTTAATGTTTAAAGAATATTGTCTCTTGTTGGGATAGAGTTCTAACTTTTATTTGGGCAGAAGAGATAAACGAAATAAAGGAAGAAAAAGTAAACAAATAGCTGGAATYTAAGGATTGGCATTTATAGAAATTAATTAGCAGTTGGAGTTATTCTACCCAGGGAAGTATGTTGCTTCTCCTGGTGCATTTGATGCAAGGCTGGAGCCTTATGCTACAGTAAAGGGTGTTATTGATTTCTGCACATGGGCAGCAGAATGAAATTTGATGTTCTTTGGGTTGGTGATCAAGTGGTTTCTTCTGTTCTTAAAGAGTATCCCCTAATCGACTATGACAAATTAAGTTTTTTTTTTTTTGTAATGTCCTTGAAGTTATATTTTAACATCAGTTTTTAAATGGARCTCACTTCTTTCAAATCCCTGTACAATTCACATTAAGGGACCTAAGAATTATTTCAATACTTCATCTTGCAA